TCTGCAAACTCAGGGGCCCTGAATTGTGTGGGGTGAGGGAATCTACAGAGCTGTGGAGGGACAAACAGGGGAAGGCAGAGCAGGAAGGGAGACAAGGCAGAGAGAAAAAAGTGGCCCAGTTTCCTGTAAAATCAGGTACTGGGGAGGACTTGCATGTGTGTGTGTGTGAATGGAATGAGGTGCCAGCCATGGGAGTCAGACTGAGGATGTGGGTGCTCCTGGGCTGTGGTGTCAGAGAACTGGAGTGACTGGGGGGATCCCCACATAAGCTACTGTAGCAGAAGGGGCTCCTTCAGTCACAGTGCTTCTTCCCAAATCTAGCTGCTGTAGCAGACTGCTCTCCCAAAAAGGAACCAATCTACTTCCCTGTTTACAGGGAGCACTCAGTGACAACACTGTGTTTCCTCTCTTTCTGGTATCACTGCACTCAAGAATCACCTCCACCTGTATCACTAGCAGAGTTAGCAAAAATCCTTCTGGTGGATCTTTTTACTGCTGAAAATGCAAACTATTTCTTTTCTACTCCTCCAAATAAAGATTAAGCTGAACTTGAAAAGTTTCACAAGTAGACACAAAAACCCAAACGAAAAGAAACCAAAACATTGTAAATAGATTTTGAATATTGCAAAATAAAACACTAAAATTAGAAAGTGTCATTAATTAATGCCACTTTAACCCATATAGATTATAATAGGTCTCCCATGACATCACCACATACTGTCTTCTCACAATAGTATTTTTGTTATAATGCAGGTAGATCCTCTGTGTTCTGGAAACCAAATGAGGTCTTTTTTTAAAAAGTTAAAAAAATGTGCATGTTTCCTACCTCATGTATTACACAGACAGATAGTGGATACTATCAAGGCAAAGAATTAACCCAGAGAAGGAACGCTCTTATGAAATCTGCTTTGGAAATTTCAATTTTTATCCCTGTATTAGCTCTACCATATCCCATGGATATGTAGAAAGAGACTTTTTTTTGCAAAATCTGTAAAACTAGCTTCCTAGTTTTAAACTCCCCTTTAATTTAAGGGAAATCATCCTTTGAATTCAAAATAAGATGCATGAAGATAATTAAAATTTAAAAAAAAAATCATTAGCAGATACCAGCTAATTTCTGTTAAAAAAAACCAAACTATTAGATGTTTTTAATACTAAGTCTAGACCTCAGCTAGCAGTCTACAGAATAGAAAGAGTAAGAGCTATTTCAATTCAAATTTGCTGCAAATATTATTTCACTGATCATGAGGAAGTATTTGTAGACCAGACACTGACAGATTATTAAAACCATTTTTATTAATCGACCCTTATTAAACAATTCAAACACCAATTCAGCCAGCACCTGAGAAACTTGAGAAACTAAATTAACCTGTCTAGAACTCAGGGAGCCATGATGTCACATTCATAAGCAATCAGTTAAATACAAGTGCTTAACAAATGAAACCAAATTAGAATATGGAGAAAACTGAAAACACAGGAATAATTTGGAGAAAACTAGAAGAATTTCCATCAGCCACAAAGCACATATTATAATCTTACCCCTACCCAACCCCTCATCCCCAGTGTAAAGGTATTACTTCTTTTCTGTTTAGCCTTAACACAGTCTATCAAGTTTGAGGACTCCAGCAGATTACTACACTTTATTTAAATGCTGAGTCTTTGGGTTACACTTTGGGCTAGATCCTTGAACAATTAAATTTTTATTGCCTTCATCCTTCTCCAGTGAATCAAGATTAAGCAAGTTAAGCAAGGTGAAAGAGAGGAAAAGAGGGCACTGGTCAAGCATTCAGTCTCACACAGGAAGCAGCTGGAGCCTTCCAGAGCAGTGATCCCTTCTGATAAGCCACTTCCTGAAAAGCTAACACCTCCTGAGGTAAGTCCTGATGATCCTGCTTCTGCTTTCCTCTTCTTCACACTGTGCATACTATCCCTGCAAAATTAACTCATGCACATTAATTAAGTTTCCGCACTCATCACCTCCCACCTTCACATTAATTATTTGGGGAAAATATGTTTCAATAACCTTCCTATCACAAACCATTCACTTTTCAGGAGCACATTCTGAGCAAATTGATCTTGCTACACTCCTTTTTTCTTGTCAGGCACAGCATATATTGCAGTACAATCCACAACTGAAAGAGACTTCCTGTTCAGCTGACTGAAAGTCTTTTGAGTTGAAAGAATGCTTATTTTCCCTATTTTCTAGATTAATAGCTGAGGTCCAGAATTACTATTAAAACCATCTTATAGTACTTGAGGGGATTAACTGAAATTAACTGATACTTGCGAATGGATTTATTTTTTCATAATAATTACTATCATACAGCTTCACTGCAGCTCTTTCCTAACAAGAAAGTTAAAACTCCCACCAAAATGGTTTCACCTCTTCAGTACCAAGAGACTCATATTTATATCAATTCATCCCTAAATCAGGCACTTTAGCATTTGTCCAATCATTTCTCTGGAAGAATTACTTGGAAATTAATCAGATGCTTGGGAAAAATACAAGTTAGATTGTCCCAAAGCCCTGGTTGAAAACGTCAAAGGATATTATTAAGGAATGCTACAGTGCTGATAAAAGAAGCCTTGTTAGATAATAGAGATTTCTGCTTCCCCCATTAACAGCTAAAAACAAGCCATATATGCACTTTATTTTTATTACTATTTTTTTAAGATAAGAAGTGTGAAAATCCTCATCACTATAATGCATTGTACATAAACTAAAATATTTGACAACGTATTCCTTTCACACGTCCAGTGTCTTGCTTCATTTCCTTTCTCATGAATGACTTAAACCAGAGCTGCCTTTTAAACTTCATCCAGCACATCAATTCTTTGAAAAACAGCACCTTCATAAAACATAGTGAAATTAAGAGGTAAGAATGAAGCACAAGCCCAAATGAAGAACTAGCAGACCTTCTATGATATTGATACTGTTTCACTGAATCTGAAAAGCACTAAAATAGATTATTCTTGTGTGTAATCTAAACCCAATACTAAAATGGGATCAATCCAGATTCTCTAACAAATCTATATAATATAAACATAAAATAATTAATTTTACATTATTTTTAATAAATCTATTAACCTAAGTAACTGAGAGTTACCAAGGTCCTTTTCAGATAGCTCCCTCAGCACAGTTTATTAACTCAAATAAACAGATTTAAAAGGTAACTCGGGCCAGACAGGAGCACAGTTGTCTCACTTGCAGGCACTCCAGCTCTTGTTATGTCCACACACTGCAGTGCTCCCAATGGCACTCAGGTACATTCTTTACAGCACATCCAATTTTTTTCTAAAGGCTGCAGCACAAAATTAAAAGGGCATCAGGGCATTCAGATATTACTCCCTGACTGTTGTCTGCAGTAATCAGCAAGCATTTTTAAAAGTCTGTCATTAGTCACTTTCAATACAAAGCCACCAGAGTCTTTTTGAGAATCAGAGTAAATTAGTGAAGCATCTTCCATTTCCACTCTCAAACTGACAACCTCACTCAGACTCCTGAAGCCTTACAAATAAAACTTTACAACTGTGTTCCCCACTACTAAAGAGCTAACACAGTCAAGTCAAATAAATACTAGCTAGTACAGGCTTTATTTACTGCAAAATTCAAGAACCATGGCACAGCCAAATCCAGCACCACTCAGACCTTCTCAGTGAGTTTTACTTAGATTTTGAATACACCAAAGGAAAAAAACAGCTTTCAAAGCAAGTTTGCATATTTTAATTCTAAAGAAACATTAAATTGCTCTTAGAAAATTCAGCTCAGTGAATAAATAGTTCTGTACATATCCAGAAGAATTTCTAACATTTTATCCAGCAAAATAACTACTAAAATAATAACATATTCAAACTTACTAGTTGGTATGTTACAACCATTTAAAATTCCCAATTTATTATAGTTGCTGATATTTGAAACAAGAGGTAGTAAGTTGTTTTTGCAAGGATGCACTGGGAGATAGCACAAATTCCACCAAAGGTACTTAAAATTATGCAAGTTGGGAACTGCTGACATGATGTCAGGACATGGAGAACGTACCCTACCATGAGCAAGAAAACAAATGCTTTCTTTTACTATTTATTCCTGATTATACATCAGGAATGTATAATCTAGCCTTTTGCAATACTCCTGATGATTCAAAAATGACACTGTCCTTGAGTGACAGGTTATATAGATATTATATATAGATACATATTTTTAATATATATGAGTATATATATCGACCTACAGCTCTAAACCTGACGGACTCTAACCTTTTGAGAGCTGCTTTTAAAAACAAGCTACTGAGCAATCATTATTTGAAAACAATAGTGAACATTTTTAAATAAAACATTAAAACAAAGATTTTTACGAGCTATTCATGCTTAATACAAATGCAAGTGGCAAACCTGAGAATGTAATACTGATGGAAGCACTGGATTTAGCTTAACCTTTGTATTCCAATCTTAACTGACTGGAATAACGTCAACCTGTTTTGCAGCATTTTGTTGTTCAGTGCGAGTTTCCCTCTGACTTTTCAAAAACTACTCTTTTGGGTTTTTTAAGTACTCTCCAGGTGCAAACGCACTGGAACAGTCCCGCGTTCCTGTCTACAGGACTGGTATAGCCTTGGTTTTCCCATGCTTTTCTAACGCGGACGGGACACACTGTTCATGAAACTGTCTCCTGGCTCATTACATCATTCCGATCTCCCTGCTAACTCCTCTCCCCTGTCATGTCTCATTCGCTCCACTGCTCTCACAAGGACTTTGCGAAACCTACTGCCACCTACATTCGCCTTCTGCTATGAACCAATGCCAAAAAGTCAGCACGACCGCTTCCCTACGAGATCCCTGCCCAGCAGACAAAATGGCTGTTTGCCCTTTAACCCTGAGGGAGCGGCGGGCGATTCCCCCCGCGGGAACACGGCGCAGCCTCGGCCTCCGTCCCAGGTTAGGCCCAGCTCACCGCCAGGCTCAGGCTCAGCCCCAGCCCCGGCCCGCACAGGGCGGTGCTTCCCCCGCAGCGCCGCCGGGCTGGGCGGCGCGGAGCGGCCGCAGGGACGCGGGCCGGGGGCGGTGGAGCCGCGATCGGAGCCGGCGGAGGCCGCGCGGTAACGGGGCCTCCTGAGCGGCCGGGGGGAGCGGGGCCGCCGAGGGCCGGGTGGAGGAGGCGGTGGCGGGGCCCTGTGTTTGGGAAGGGCGTGGAGCGGGCGCTGAGGGAATGGAAGCTGTCGCTGCGTGTCGCAGCAGCAGTGGGTGCGTGTGTCCATGTGCGTATTTCTGTGTATTCTGGCGAGAAAAAATATGTTTTTCTCTTTCAAAGCAGCTTCATTTTCGTGGCGAAATCTTCCTCTCCTTTAAGCCTCCTTAGAACTGGTTTTGATGGTTAAGGTAAATTTCACTGTATTCAGAGATTTGTTTTGGAATAGCACACTAATGACAAGAATTTGACTGTTGTGTCAGCATTATTTTGTGATACTATGAGTCGTCTGTACAGCATTAAACTTAATTCTTTTACTTAAATCCTTTTAGTAATGGTGGGTATGTTCTCTGGCATTTTGTTTTCCTTATTTTTTAAAACTTAGTTGACACAATGACAGACTTTGAGAAGAACCTCCGCCAGGACATGATTTCTCAGCTGCACAACTTTGCTGCCGTGGGAGATGCAGCCAGACTGAAAGCACTGCTCAGTCGTTCCCCGTCACTTGTCAATGCAGCTGCGGGGAACGGCTGGACAGCCCTGATGTTCGGTGCCAGGAATGGACACCTCGAGGTTGTGCAGGTTCTTCTTGAGCAAGGGTAAGCCGCTTAATAGACCCCATTCAAGATCTCTTATTTTCATCCCTTTTTGCCCGTTTCAGTTCATCTCAGAAAAGTAAGCTTACTGACAGATAATGTCAGAATTTTTGTGGTTAAAACCCTGGAAGGTGTACTCTGTGTCAGTTTGTAACTGCATTCTGCTGTTGCATAATGCTTTCTATATTTGCTGAGAAACTCTAAAAGTTAAAAGCATCTCTAAAATTATTCTTTTGATCTTCTAGGATATCTTATCACTCCTCTCAGAGGCCAACAAACTTTGCATCCCATTCCAACCACAATACTGAATATAAATTTGGTGTGTTTGATTGTTCATTTAGATTTTTTCTCTAAATTTTATTTGTAATCCACTTGCATCTATGTTATAGTGCAGAATTTTTTTGACCTACTGACTCTTAAGTCAGACATGACACACCTTTACCAAAGCTACCAGTTCATAAATTTCAGTTGTACCTTAGTTTTTGAACAATACACATTCTCCTTCTTGCTTGACCATATCATTGTTACTTTCTTAAGAAAGCATCACACCAAGCGTCTTCATTGCTTGTCAAAAACTTGCTATTTGCTAGTCATCTGTTGTAGTTCTGGTGTTTCAAGACGAAGATGCAAATAGTGCTTCAGTGTTCTTCTTGAGACTCCAAAGAAAATTCATCTCATAATGAAGGGTTAGAGTCAGATGTGATTCAGCTGAGCTCTACATTAATCAAGCCTGTTTGATTAATGCAATTCCTTTCTGCACTCCTAATTACACAACCAAGCAAGTTTAGTTCATTTTGTAGTTATGTGTAACTTCAGGCATAGCATTCCACAGCCTCCAGTCATCATGCCACCCTTTTTTCTTATTTTTTTCAGTCTTACCAAATCCTGAGGCCTCTGCTGAAGCTCAGCATAAAGCATTAGATGAACCAGTAGTTTATATAAGAATCAGTACTTTCCAGCATGTAGAGGAGTATCTCAGTGGCAGATTTTGTGTATTGAGGAATATTCTGGGATTTGGGGGAATCTACCAGCTGGTAAATAGGATAACAGTTTTTAAATGCTCTTTTCAGGGTTGTTCTCTTAGGCAATTGAGTATAGTTCCTGAGATGATACTGTGGCCTCACTGGTCTCATTTTAGTTAACACTTAGTCCTAATAATTATTTTGACAAATAAAATTGCTGGTTATATAAGCATGAATGTCTGTGAAAGTTATATTTCATAACATTGCAGAGAATAATCCTGGAAAGCCAGTCATAGAATTTTATCATAGAATTATAGAATCACAGAATATGCTGAATTGGAAGGGACCCACAAGGATCATCAAAGTCCAACTCCTGGCCCTGCATAGGACAAACCAGGAATCACACCATGTGCCTGAGAACATTGTCCAAATGCTTCTTGAACTCATCAGGCTTGGCCACTGTTGGGGAGCCTGTTCCCGAGTCCAGCTACCCTCTGAGTGAAGAATCTTTACCTGGTATCCAGCCTAAACCTTTCCTGACACAGCTTGAGACCATTCCCTCGGGTCCTGTCACTGGTCACCAGAGACAAGAGATCACTGCCTGCCCTTCCTCTTCCCTTGTGAGGAAGCTGCAGACCAGGGTGAGGTCTCCCCTCAGTCTCCTCTCTTCTAGGCTGAACAAGCTTCCCCTCTAGAGATGATGATCACGGCATCAACTTCATGGCCCTACTTTGGACACTTTCTAACAGCTTTAGATCCTTCTTAAATTGTGGTGCCCAAAACTTCACACAATTCTTCATATAAGGCCACACCAGCATAGAGTAGAGAAGCACAGTCACCTCCTTTGAGCTGCTGATGTGCTTGTCCGTGTTTGAGAAAAGCTACAGAAAATGTTTACAGACTGGAAAAAAAAGATCTTGGTAGTCTAAAGCGTTCAGGCCACTGTTGTGGACACTGAAGAACTGCCTGATCACACTCTGCACATAACCTTAGCAGATAGAAGGGGGAAGACAAATCAGAACAAAATTCACTTGACTGAGAGGTAGGAAATTAAACGACGTTTTGCCTAAAGGAAACCTTTAAAGTTGATGAGCAGTAGTAGTTTCTTTAGCACAAAAAACTTTGTAAATAAATTTTGAATGTTTTTCTAAACTATACTCAAATTCCCTCAAAACCTACTAAATTAAACTAAAATCTCAAAATGGTCTTGCCTGTAACTCGATACACAGTTACCTGTATATCAGCAACATTATTATACTGGCATGTCCTGTTTTTAAAAAATTATTAATTTGGCCCTGATCTAGTGCATGATCTGGTCTTTATAGTGACATTTCTGTTTTATTTACCCATTTGAGTTAAGATTGACAAAAAATTAAAATGTGTTATTTTGACTTCCCAATCAAGCCCAATCTGTTTCAGGTTTGGGTTTCTTTTTGAATTCAAATATATATCACAAGGCATTGTTTCCTCAATTGTTTCCTCATCTATGTCATTTTACAAACATCCCTGCAGGGATCAGTATTGCGGTTGTAATGGTGCTACTTCTGTCATTAAGTAGGGGCTATCTTCTTGATTCTAATTTTATAATAAATCATAGAAGCATACTTCTGACTTATGAACCCTTCCGTTGGAAGGGACCCACAAGGATCAACTCCTGGCCCTGCACAGGACACCCCAGGAACGACACCATGTGCCTGAGAGTGTTGTCCAAACACATCTTGAACTCAGACGGGCTTGGTGCTTTGACAACTTCCTTGGTGACACTGTTTGATGTCCAACCACCCTCTGGGTTTCCTAACATCTAGTTTAAACCCCCCGACTCAGCTTCATGCCATTTTCTTGGGTCCTGTTCACCAGAGAGAAGAGATCGGTGCCTTCCCCTCCACTTCCCCTCACAAGGATGTTGTAGACTGCTATGAGATCTCCCTGCAGTCTCCTCCAGCTAAATGGACCAAGTGACCTCAATTAAATGTTTTATTGTAAATGTTTTGATGCTAATTTCAGTAGCTCCTAGAAAGTAATGCTTGTTAAACTTTAATAAATGCATTTATTTTGCATTTTTGTTACTGGTTATGAGGAACAGACCCATAGCATGACTTTCAAAGTTTTATCTTGACCTTTTTTTCCCATGATATAGTGTGTGGGATTTTAATTAATCCATTGTTGTTGTGGTCCTGCATGAATCTGAGAAAGAAGTGTTGAAAAGTGAGGATACCAAAGTGAATGAGTTATTATGGACATATTGCTAAAAACTGCTGTTGTGGTCCTGCATGAAGCTCAATAAATAATAATCTGGAGTGGATCAGCAAAAATTAAAAATCTGGTCTTAGCAGAAGAAAATGAAGTACAATCACTTTTCATTACCATAATGCTAAATATATACCATAATGTGCTAAAATAAAGAGTGCCCCAGTATAGACAGAGTATCTAGAAGTTCTTGCACCTTAGTAGGATCAGATATGCTGTAAGTAAGAATAACACAGCACCAGGACCCTTCCTAAACATATTTACCCTGGTAACCACAGTTCTTTTCTGTTTTTTTAGGTGTGACAGATCCATCATTAATAAATCAAGGCAGACAGCTCTGGACATCGCTAAATTTTGGGGGTACAAACACATAGCTAATTTGTTGGCTAATGTCAAGGGTGATCAGAAGCCTAGTTTTTTGTCCAATGATGTGAAAGAATATGAAAATTATTTTGGCATGACACTTCTGGACAGAAGGAGTGATAAAAGAACAGATTCCAAGTGGCTGAGTAAAAAACAAAGCCATCCAACTACAGTATACATCCTCTTCTCAAATCTAAGTCCCCTGGTTACTTTGAGTGGGGGAATAGATAGTTCCCAGCAGCCAGAAGTAAAGCTTTGCAGGCTGTACCACAAGGATGTGGAGCAGTGCCTGAACCAAACCGAAGAGTGCACCTTGATTTTTCTTGGAGTTGAACTTCATCAGAACCTGACAGCTGCTTGCAGTGGAAGAGTTCTGCAAGAAGATGAAGAGGACGGGTTAGTTGCTTGGTTTGCTCTTAGCATAGATTCCGCTTCTGCTGAGAAATTTAAACAGAAGCATGAGGACTGTTACTTTCTTCACCCACCAATGCCAGCACTGCTGCAGCTACCTGAAAAAGAAGCTGGTAAGATGCATGAAATGCAGCAGGTACCAAATGTGTGATTAGAAGATAGACTTTAGGTTTCAGTGAGGTACAATGCAAGGACAAACCATGGCAAAGGAATTGGGTATTTTCATTGGCTTTAGAAATATTTTGATTTTAAAAACCAGTTAGTGGTTTTGGTAAGGGTTTTATATGTAAAAACGTGCAGTTGCAACGGACTACCTTCTTCAGTAGCAATATTAGTCTGTAAAGCCTATTGATCATCTTGGTTTTTAAATAGTACTATTTAAATGTTTTTGTATGCACATTAATGTTCTGAAAAGAAGGAAAAAGTCTGTCATTACTGAGTTTTCATTACAAGAAATGAGATTTGCATCTTTAATAAGATTGTGTTGAATACTCATCTGAGAAAGAAGTGTTGAAAAGTGAGGATACCAAAGTGAATGAGTTATTATGGACATATTACTAAAAACTGCTGTTGTAGCAGTTTTGCTTCTACAGAAGGATAAAGGGCAAGCTTGACTTGCACCTCAAGTTTAAATGGAACAATGCATTACTATGTCAATACTTGTAGTAGCCCTAAAATGTCCTCTGGAAAAAGTGTGATACATAATTCTGGCACTTTGCCCAGACAGAGTAACTTTTGTGACAGGCAGAGTATATTGATCCAAATGAATTTGTTTCTGAATGTATAAATTGTTCTGTAGCTGTAGGGTACTGTGTTCGATTGCATGAGCTGTGCTGCAAAGAAAAAGAGTAACTCATATTGCTGCGTAACTCATATTGCTCAACTTTTCTTGTAGAAGATTATGATTCAAACCACAGCCTTACTTTGATTTTTATCTTAAAAGATTTTACTATTTGCTTGTTCTGTACTGTTAAAAGATCACATGAATTAGTATTTGATTTTGTGAATTTTCAATGTATCCTTTTAAAGGAGTAGTAGCCCAGGCTCGGTCTGTTCTAGCGTGGCATGACCGTTACCGATTCTGCCCAACGTGTGGGAGTACCACCAAGACTGAAGAAGGGGGTTACAAGAAAACTTGCTTAAAAGAAGATTGTCCCAGTCTCCAAGGAGTTCACAACACATCATACCCAAGAGTTGGTGAGAATATTTTAGAATATAATTGCTCATAAATGGCTTGTTTGTATTACTATATACCTGTAAATCAATTTATTTCCAATTATTTCAGCTGCTTGCTGAGTATGTGTGTCTCAGCTCTATTTAGGATTAAGTACTTCAGACTTCTCTTTTTTTGCAGTAGTCTGTAACACAGAATTACTGGGAAAATACCAGTCATTACTGCAAAAAGTCATATAAATTAAGAATTCCAACAACATGAGTGAGATATTAACAGTACAAAGGGGCACATTTTACTTTTTTTTCCGCACCTGCATATTTTTTTCTCACCTTCTGCAAGCCCTCTGAGCTTGAAATAGCTCTGTATCAAATTTGGCCCTTTATCAGATTTCTGACATAGTGCTCATTTTCCTCTAGTGCCACTTGGATGTTATTAGCCATCATCACTGGCTTGCACTACTCATTGTCAGTGACAAATTGCCAGGCCTACTAAGAATACAGGCTTTTATATACAGTCTTCCTGTCTCTATCATTCTCTTCTATATCATTTCTTCTTTTGTTCATGTGTCGCAAAGGAAGTGCAAATTATGGGGAATTTGATGGGGAAACAAGAATGGAAAAAAGTTTACTTTTTTTTTTCTGGATCATTTGGTGACACTTTGATCACCTTTCGTTCTCCTACTTTGTCCTCCTGCAGTTGTAGTTCTGGATGTTGTGCATGTGTTGTATTTCTGAATTACATATCCTCTTACATGCTCTAGATGCATCTTTTTAGCAATCAGTTCTGTCATATTCTTCTATCTTGTGAACTATAGTGAAGCTTGCTAAAATATTTAGTGGCTGTTTCTTTACAGTCTCTAGCACAACAAACTTAGAGAAAGAATGGGACTCCATGGGAAAGGCTGATGAACCTGCATCCACTAATGAGGCCTTTCTCTCAAGGTTACTAGTATTCAGACAGCAACACTTCATATTCTGTATTGTGCCATGTGGCAGATAACTTTGAGCTGGACAGCAATCTTCAAAATTACTGTGCTGAAGCAAGCCTTTTCGTACAGAGAAAATACTAGTGTTTGGGGAAAAAAAAAAAAACACGTGAAAAACAACAGCAGGAGAAAAACAAACGAACAAAACAAACAACCTAAACACTGAAATACTTAAAAGCTAGATAACAATAAAAAGGGGAAAATATCACAAATCAACAGGGTTGATGATACCAATGGGAGAAGATACTAAGCTAGAAAGAAAAATATAGATACAATGACCAGAAGTGAGAAAGTAGGTAAAAGTGTAACATCATAGAAAAGGGTGATAGAAAAGAGTAAACAAAGTCAAAGGTGAACAGTTTAGTCAGTGTTTGCACTGTTGCTAGAGTATCTGGTTCTTCTTTGGTATTCGGTCAAAAGTACATTCTTCAGACCTCTGTGGGTGTAGAGGAGGTGACAATAAATGGGTTTGCTGGAGAAACTATTGCAGTATGCTGTGTGCTTAGCTAGGTTAGTATTGCTGATACTCTTAAGACATTGTTTGTAACCAAACAGGCTTTGGTTTCAGGTAATTTCTGTTCTACATTTCAAGCCTTGGTTAGTAAACTGCTTCTACTAAGCATGTATGTTGCAAAACAAAGTAAATAGATATCTTGCAGGGAGAAAAACTCCAAAGTTAAATAAAATAACAGCTTGGTCTGTGAAGAATTATGATTTCAACCACTTAAAGATATCTTATTTACCTTTACATTAGTATTCAATAGGATGACATTTACTCTTGCTTTTAAGTCCCTCAGATGCTGAAATACATTCCTTTCATGTCCCTTACAGATCCTGTTGTGATAATGCAAGTCATCCATCCGGATGGGAACCACTGCCTTTTAGGTAGGCAGAAGAGGTTTCCCCCAGGAATGTTTACGTGTCTTGCTGGATTTGTAGAACCTGGTGAGTAATTTCCCTTACCAAATATTTTTTGTCGTAACAGTATTGTATGTTTACAATAACACAGAAATATATTTCATGTTACATTAAATTAATGGGTTTTTTTTCCCATTAGATGAGTTGTTATAATAAATATGCTTATTCTGTACTTTGCAGCAGTTGATTTGTAAAAAAAGCAAAAAGCAACATGAGTAAATAAAAACTTCAAACTGTTTTGTCATTATGCAGTCTTAAATCACATATATAAGTGAAAAAAAAAATTCAAAACCACATATACGGTCATTTGTTTGGTGATACTTTGCAAAGGATTTTAGCAAAAAAAATAAGAGTTAAAGTGTAACTTAAGGTTAATATAAAGTTAAGGATATGCATATATATATTTAGGCTCTGATTTATTATATGGAAGATAAGTAGAAATTATATCATTTTGAAAGAAAAGAGATATTTTGCTTGAGTGTTAAGCATAATAGTTGGAATTAGTTACAATTATTAGTATCTGCAGAACATTTGCAAAACATTCTTATATTGGGAAATGTATAATTGTATTCAGTAAATATATGCAGGTTAACATACTCTGACAGCATGAGTAAGTTGATTCAGGTGTCATTTGAAAAAAGACAAGATGTTTATTTCTTCACTCCTTTTCTTCCTCTGTTGGTCTGATTATTTTGTGATACTGAATTGAAGTCTGTATAAAGTGAAATTTTAGAGTAGTCAGTGATAAAATCAGCTACTCTAATCAGCTGAACATAACTAAACTAAAACCTCTGTCTCTGATCCATGGACTGTCTCCTTTAGTGAACCTGTAATCAGTGGTAACAACACAGTACCTGTGTGTGTATGATGTGACCATCAACACTCAACATACACATCTAGCAGTTTTCCTTGAATATGGAAACAAAGTTTTCCATTTAAGTTTGCAGTATTGTCTGTGTGTTAAGACAATGAAGAATGAATCAAGCAAAGTGAAGAATACAATGCAGAAAAGTCTTCTGTCACTATTTTCTTACTATTTATTATAACTAGTTGATGTTTCAACTTGCAGTACATGCTGTCACAGTCATACTGAAAATCTAAAAACTTACACAACACTATTTATAAATAAACAGATCAGCATTTCAAAAGTAATTAAAGGAATAATGTATTTCCTACTCAGTTTTTGACATTTAGTTGTGGTTATAATTGTTTTTGTGTAGGATAAATTATCAATTCAGGAAACAAATATTATGATGTGGAAATTAATTACAGTTTATTTTCAAAGTTCCATTTTGCTTTGGTATCTGGTTTTACCTTACTAGACTTCTGTATCTTGTGCTTCAGGTCTGTGCCCTGAACTAGATCTTTATAGATAATTGCCTTGGGCAGTTTCAAATCCTTGGAGTCAGTTCAAAGCACGGTATGTGATTGCTGCTTGGAGTATTTTCATCAGCTGCTTGTTCTTTGCCCTTTCTGATTAGGCGAAACAATAGAAGATGCCGTTCGAAGAGAAGTGGAAGAGGAGGCTGGAGTCAAAGTTGGCCATGTTCAGTACGTCTCTTGTCAGCCATGGCCAATGCCCTCATCCCTAATGATTGGCTGCTTGGCTGTGGCAGTGTCCACAGAAATTAAAGTTGACAAGAATGAAATAGAGGATGCCCGCTGGTTCACTAGAGAACAGGTAAAGTTCAATTTAATTTCCTTCTTCTATTGATTAGTCTGTGACTCTGTTGGTTCTGACATACAACAGATACTTAGTTTTTTCCAGCAAGTTGAATGAGCATGTCTGCTTTCCATTTTATCATAGTACAGTTGTATTATATTGTGGTTGTAGATTGCATACAACCAGAGAAAGGCAAATATTCACAGGAATGTCTGAGTCAATTGCAAGCCAATTTTATGAAATTTTTGCCAGTTAGCTGTTCACCTTTCCCTTTTGGGAGATATCCAAGTTATTCTTATTTTAACCCACTTCCTTAGCAAGCCTGTGCTTTTTGTTTTGGCAGAAGGAGTGTTAGTAGTATTCATCATGAGGGTTTATCCAAATGACCGTCCTATCAGATTTGCTGGAAGGGGGGAGGTTAAGGAGAGAACTCAGGGAATTTTTTTATGAATCGTTTGAACATCTTTTTTCATGCAGTACTATTTTAATACTCTGTTATTGAATGCAGTTTACTGTGCATTAATAGGAAGTCCTACACTTAGCTTCCCTGAGTAGTTAAAATACAGTCAAATAGAGGCAAAAAGGACCTTCCCAAAAAGATCTCAGTTCATGAGTAGAAGAAGGAAAGATTGCTTACATAACACAGTCTTCACAGGTTTTCCCACAGGTAAATTTGGAGCTAAACCTCTCATAGCAATGGACTTCTGCCCAGCATTTCCAAGTGTTTTGACTGTAAGTCAACTTCAAGGCAAAGTTGGTCTCCTACATTTCAGTGTATTTTGTCAACACTGGGAGCATTATTTTAAATGAACAGTAGTTCTGAATGAAGTCACAGTCAGGTAGAACTGGAAATAAATGTACTTCAGAAATGAACTGCAGTAAAAGTGTAATCCCATGTTGCTTGCAACTGCTTCAGATAACCAAGATAACACATCTCCTTCGGTACTACATGTAAAAATAAAAGTATTTATGTCACAGTGTAGAGCACCATCTGGTGGTCCTTACCATAAAAAAACTTCACAAAAACCTTAAATAGTGTAACAGCAATCAGTCTTGACAGTTCTGTTAGGAAGAAGGTATCCTTTGGGGCTCAAAAATGATAGAATTTACGAAATGTGCGTTCTTTTCTCCATCTGTCTTGCAAAATCTGTTAATGCCTCTTTAATAGCTATAGTAATTAGACTATATTGTAGACTGATGTGTCATCATAGGAAAGCAATTCGTTCATTAATACAATGTTAGATTCTATATGATTTATAATATTCTCTTCTAAAGATAAAAAAATCTGGTTTTATTGCAGGTCGTGGAAGTTCTCATCAAAGGAAACCAGCGTTCGTTCTTTGTACCACCGAGTCGAGCTATTGCACACCAGTTGATTAAACACTGGATTGGAATGAATGCTAATCTTTAGTTCAGATAATTGATTTAAGTTAAGTTACTTGTCTTACTGAATGCTAAATTAGGAATAAACTAGAATTGTTTATTTATCTAGTCGTTGTGCAACCATACGATTTTTTGAGCCCTTCCTTAGGTTCCTGAGCTAAACTATGCAAATCATTTGTAGGTGTTTTCATAGCTGAATTAGAAATGGACAACAATTATCCCCAAAAAGCAAGCAACAAATAGATCGAATTGGTACCTTGTTGTGCAGAGGCTGTTTTTTTGTCCTAGAATCAAATTATTATGCTTTTTACTGTTACACTTTTAATGTTTGATTTGGTCCTTTCTCCAGTGGAAGGAGTTACAGCATTACAAAGAGGGATGTCTGACCTTGCCTGCTGTATGTATTCTGTATTTACATTCTCCTATTTTATCTTAATTTTTTCTTTCTCATTTTTGCCTTTCTCCATTCTTTACATTCTGCCTGTCACAAAAATTGGCATTCAGCGCTGAAAGTCTCAGCAGCAATGGTTATTTTTAAGCTAATAACATATATAAATGGTGAATATGAGGTACTAGGTATCTTTTACTTTAATAACCTAATTTACATTAATTCTCTAAGCAGAGCATTTATTCATCCCTTCTGATTTGGCCTGCATACAACTTACCCAATTGTATATCAGTCTGAATTTAAAGGTATAACACAGTGCTTTGGTTTCGAAAAGGTGTTGGAGAGCCATCCCCAAAAGCCTAAACATTAGTATTTTATAAGATAATAATGTACTTAATGCCCCTAGGCAGTGAGTTATGTCATTCTCTGATAATTAGAAATGGAACCGTAGAGTAATGGAAGAGGAAAAAAAAACATACCATCTGAAAATATGCACAAAATTCTTTATGAAATGGAGATGCTAATATTGTTACTGCTATTAAGAAATTTACACTGGAAATAAGTATATTAACTGCAGGTGTAAGACGGAAAGCATTATATGAATTAAAATATTTACTTATGTGTACTTAATGCTATAGTTCAAATTTTTGCCTTAATTTATCAAGTTATTAAAAATGTTATTTTCAAAATAAAAGTATATTATTTTTATTACTAATGGCATTATGTAATGGTTTCTAGTCTGTCATTCTACAGTCATCGCAGTTATAGGAAAAGAAATGCAAATGACCCAAGGGAAATACAATTACAGCGATAAATGCAAACTTACTATTATGTGATGATTTGTTTACTCAGAGTAGTTTTCATTTTGTTTAACAGCAAATGATGTCCTATTTGTTTCAAAATTCCTGCCACACTGGAATCAGGAAAACTGTTCTATAAATCCTATTTGTTCTTCGTTTCCTGTCCAGTGTCACACTATACTTAGCAGTTTTGGGGATTTTTTTGGTAAGGCAGTGCATATCAAACTTAAAGCAAGAACCATTTCTTACAGCCTTGGAACATTTGACATATTACACTGCTTCATTCTCTCCCTTGTTTCAGCTCTATGTACAAATGAAGACCACCAGGTTATCTCTTGAGCTGTCTGGAGGGGAGAAGGAAGCAATGCACTGCTTCCCTTAAAAATTGCTTTTACAGAGAGGAGGAATTGTGGAAAGCTGTCATGGACTACAGTTACCAACAGGACTGCATGTTATCAGTGGCATTAATCTTTTAAGAAAGAATGTGGGACAGAAGGAAGCCTGTTTGCAGGTTGCTCATACAAATAAAGGAGAACGTTGGAAGGTGGTGGAAGCTAAGCAGTGAGAGGAAATTCTGACTGGTACTATGGCGGTTGCACATTAACAAAGATGAACAAGAAAGGAATGAGGAGCAGATGGAAAAGGGAGGATAAAGCAGAGAGCAAATATAGGTAATGTAAAAATAAAGAATTTATCACTGTGAGGCAACTAAAAGTACATGTCTAAGACCCATCTACATATTAGTTTTTCATGCAGGAAATTAGATTGAGTTGCTATTGGGATGAGCATGTAACTCCAAACAAAGTAGCCATAATCAATACTTACATTAATACCCTGCTCCGTTTTTTATTTGAGAATCTATGACAGTATATATCTGCAATTACATTAATACCCTGGTCCGTTTTTTATTTGAGAATCTATGACAGTATATATCTGCAATTACAATGCTTAGAAATAATTTAAAAATTCCATTTTACTGCATGAAGAAAAGCAGAAAATAGTAGTGTGGCAATGGAAACCACACTTGAGTAATCTCTGATTTTTAGAGTAATATTTTAATGATCTTTTAATTCTAATAACTTCTCATGTGTGGACAATTTTTAATATTTATAGATTTTAAAAATCTAAACAAAATTTTTTTAAAAGCTTTTTAAGATTTTTTTTATCTTTTTCCCTCCCCAACAGATGAACCATTTACAGAGAAGACAAATACCTTGTTTAAGAAAATTACTTTGATAAATTTAATCTCCTATTTAAAGGAAAAGTTTTCCTGGCTTTTTAGTGCTTAATTTGCCCAGTTTGTAGGTCAAGGCTTGAATTTTAGTTTGAAAATTTTCTGAAGGACAGTTATTGTCTGGAGTTTACATATGAAATGTCTAATTGAAGAGCAAAAACTTGTAGTTATTTAGCAACTACAGCAATTCCAAATTAAAAAAAATTCCAAATTAAGTTTAGCAGCAATTAAACTGAGTGTAGTGGTCCTGGCTGGAATATGGTCAGGGCAACACCTCCGTAAGATCTCAGTTGCCTTATCCAAAAGACAGCAGCAGCTTTACAAGCAGGCTGCTTCTTCCTTAAAACACTAAAAATAGAGAGGTTTTCTTTGCACTATGTAATAATGATCTCACTCTTTTCTCCCTTCTGCAATGGCACAAGAACATAATGAGTATACATGATGTATAGATGTACAAGGCAGAGAATTCTGGAATGCCTGTACACTAAGAGTTACCTTCTATTCAGTGTATAATTTGAAAATGTGGGGTTTATCTATTTTTGAAATTATAATAACTTAAAATAATATAAATAGTAACAATAAAATAGAAAAAGATAAATTAGGTGTTTAAACAAAAAAAAAATTGTTATTTCTAATGCAGCTGTAGTCTCATGCAGTGTAATGACGTTTTATGTAATTGGTAATATTTTTACAAACTTTGCAGTGGTCCCTATAAACATACTTCTTTTATCTCATTTTTTATACTGGGTTTATGTGAACGTGAAGAATAAAATCATTCCAGTGTTGATAGTGTAGCATGAACATTATGTCTTATGTAGTACCAAGTTTGTAAATGATTACCTTGAATTCTACGATGTGTGAAGCAAAAAGGGGTGAATGTCAACTGTCTGATTAAAGGTAGACCAGTCATGACGCTTCCATGGAATTAAATGTACTAATCAGATTCTGAGCTTAGGAGACAATAATAGAAAAAGAAGTGGATCAAGACAGTGAGCACTGCTTCCTCTTTTATTTTTAATTTTCATTGACAAAGCTGACATTTTTTAATGCCTGGGTACATTTGGTTGTTATTTTCATTATCTGCTTTAGCTGTAAAGAGTTAAATAACTAGTAGTCCTTTATTGCCTGAGTGATTTGAAGGATATGTGTATACAGCATAGCATTGCTGACTGTGGTTGACAATACAGAAGTAGGTAAGTCCAAGGCAAAAAAAAATTTGAACTTGTTATCCTATTAAGGCTTAGCAAGACAGACAGCCCACCCTTCATGAGCTTAGAAAAGCAAACTATTCACAAAGCGTCCATAGTAGCAAGCAACTGTCTGAGGAAACACTGGATGTGGCACTTAGTGCCATAATCTAGTAACCACATTGGTAATGGATCAGGGGTTGGACTTGATGATCTCAGAGGTCCTTTGCAACCCGGCTGATTCTATGATTCTATGAAAATGAATATTGGTTTATACTAACGGTAAGTATAAATGTCTTTTTTTTTTTTTTTAATAAGACCCTGTAAGGTAGTATTCTACAGATACTAATTGTTATAACTAATCATAACTACTATAAAACATGATAATCCTTCAGATTTTTTCACAGTGAGAAAATAAGAATGTTTTCCTAAATGAAAGATTTTTAAGATGGATATTTACTTACTGAGATTGTATCTTGTCATTTTAGCATATCAGAACTTCTTAAAATATATTTTTAGAGCATTTGATGAAGAAAAAAATATTTTATGCAGTATAAAAGAGATACAATGCACAGTAAACTACGTTCTTTATTTACAAATATGTTTTTACTTATGTGATGATAAATACATGAACATTGATTGCAATGAACTGATACTACTGGAAAAATCTTATCAGTAAATTGAAATATTCATTATATAGTACTTCTGTTAAAATCATCACAGAATCCTGTATGGACTGCACAGAGGCTACCTACTGGTTTGCTGCAGTGTAAAGCAGACCATATTTTTAAATGAAGGGAAGAATGAGAAATGTTGATGCAGAAATTAAGTATCTCCAAAATCTGAAATAAATGCATATCCTTATTAGTACATTATTTTGTCTTTAATGATGCAAAAGCTCAAAAGAATTAACCAAATGCAAGATTATTTAGTAAGTAGGCAGAAGCTTTATAAGAAATTAGGTTTACATACAATTTTGCAGAATTTAGGAGGTGAAACCTATGACTTGACTTCTCCCTAAAAAGATTGAAATGCTTCTGTATATACAGCCAGTGATGGCTGAACTATTTTTCACTACTACTTTGCTGCACTTGCATTCTCAGTATACATTTAAAATAATCTTGAAGACGTTTGACTGACTGCTACTGTAGTAGTGCACCCTGCCTCAGGGAGATAGCTTTAACATAATGGCAAGAATAGTATACCTAGTATTTCTTTTCGAAAGACTGGTTAAAATCTATTTTAACACCTTGTCTGGTGTCACTTGATGCTTATAGAAAAGTCAAAAATAATGCAAAATCTCATTACATGGGGTTTGGATTTCCTAAATATGCTGGTTTATGGCTTATGTGATGTGTTCTGAGTTGCTCAGACAGTAACATTCCTTGAGAATCAGAACTGCAGAAATATTGACTGGTGTTTCATATCTTTTCATGATCTGAAAAAGGAAGATCCTGATTCAGTGTGCTCATTAGAGGTCCCGCAGCGTATTTCATGAAAGACAGTCATTTCTGGTACAATACCTGTTGCAGATTGATCCCACTAATGCATGCTTTTCTGAGTGTTTCATTTGGATACTCTGTCCTCAGAGCAAAATGGATACTGCCAAATATCTACTGAGTTTAATTTGAATGGAGGCTGATTCTTAACAGTCATAATTCATATTTTTATTAATTTTGTGAAATGATTTAGGACACTGTTACAGACCCTGTAAGTGGCTGCCTGCCACTTTTTTCTAGACATTTTGTAGGCACCTAGACACCTTTTCTAAAGAGCCATCTTTTCAAACATTTTTGGTAACATATCCTGTATGTGTCTGACATGAAATACATTTTGGGGCAACAGTACTGCAAAAATGGGTGTTCAGAAATTATTCGAATAACGTACTAGTGGAAATTATAAAAAGGCAAATCAGAAGGTACTTCAGTAAGAGATACTTCAGTGAGGCAAGAGTTGTGCAAACCCACAACAGCAAGTAAGGAATAGAAGAATACTGAGAAATAGATGCAATGGAAGTAAATTAGTAAATTCAGTATTGTTAAGATCATCTAGGTAATGGGGAAAAAGAGTAGGATTCTATATCCAGAGGAAGTAAACAGAAGGGTTTGATGTAGTTGAAAACCAGAAGGAAGGAGCAGTAAAAGGTTCTTGTTTCAGAAAGGCTTGGTTTGGGTCATTCTTCTACAGTACTGGATTCAGTGGGGAAGTGTTCAGTGAGCTACCACTCAATATATTTATAGCCATGCCTTATATAGCATAGGATGCTGAAATTGTAGGAAGGGAAATTGATACTATCCTGAAAGAACTTCAAATATTTTGCAAATGTATTGTGTCATCACGCCCTCCCTATTCAACATTAGTAAATCTATTCACCATGTTTTCCTTTCTTTTTTTTTTTTTTGTCTTTTCTGCCTATCTCATCATTACTGTATAAGTTCACTGAACATGCATGTTTAGAATACTTAAGAACACATGTTTTCACATTAAATCTCCATTATATAAATATATATAAATTATATATATTATATAAATCTCCATTATATAAATATATATCTCCATTATATAATTATATATTATATAAATATAAAATATTTTCCATATTTTCAGTTTTACTTTACTGAAATTTTTTAAGGCAACTCCTCTGCCTAGAAAGATGAACTCAAAGACATATGTTAGAGAACTATTTTTTTGCCTTTGTTATCAGAGAGTTTGTCATCACTTGCATTATCCTGAAAGAAATAGTATTACAGATGTCATTCACAGTACAAATTAACCCATTCTAGGCAGAGCTTTAACTGTATTTAAAGTGTGATGTAAATATAGACTTGTTTATAATGTGATTGTTTACTCAAAATGAGATGTTGTTATTCTGAGCTCACCCAAGCGCTGCTATTTGTAGTAGGAATAACCTGTCACGTAGAGCACTATGTCACTGGACATTGGCTTCCATCCAGTGAGCTGCTGAGTGCCTCTATTCCCAGCTAAGCTGGTTAGACTCACGTTCATGTCAAATCCAGCAGTGGACAAAACAGTCCCTAATGCAGGGTCTGACCCTGCAGTTCTAATGCACACAACTAATCCTTACTCAGGTCAAGAGGTCTACTCATGTGGCTGGGATTGAAGATGATGAAATTCCTAATTCTGTCATCACAGCTCAGGACCAATAACGCAAGAATAGACAAAGGCAATGCATGGATAAAATGAGTGAAAAGCAAAGAACTGGTGCCTCTTCTGCTGTGGTAGACTTTAGAGGAGAAAGGATAACGTAACATATGGAAATGAAGTATGGACAGCAAAAGTTATCTTTTCAGTGGTCACTTGAAATTTAAGATACCACCACTTTTAACACACTGAAGGTACAATAAAAATTAATAATATATAAATAATAGAATTAGCATCTGAGCTGGTAAGAGCTAATCACAAATAAACAGTGCAAACAATCATTATAATTTTGATCTACTTACTACCAATTACAGAAGTCACTAAAAAATAAAAAAAAAAAAAATACCCTAATCATCCTTTTAGCCTATACCTTTAGTCTCACCTTTGACAACATAACAAAATCTGTAATCCTACCTCTGTAAACAACTCTGACCTTTCTCTATAGCTACTGATGGTTTCACGGCACCTTGCTCAGACTTTTAGATTTTAGAAGGTATTAGATCACTTCCCAAAATCCTGTCATGCAGAGAGCCAACATGATCTACCTACTCTACTTCCAGAGTATCATGTGCCACTAAATGCTGTTTGAGTAGCAGTAAAACTACTGATCATCTCAGACCTAGAATTTCTTCTCCAAAGTCATATGATGTTTTACCATTACAGGGAAAGGAAAAAGGGAAGGGGAAGGGATTGAGTGTGTTGCATCTTTCTTAAGTTGCACTGAGAGAAGTCCTAGAAGTAAAAATATTTTCTCAATTGCAACTTAATGAGTTATAACTGAAACCTCAGCCATCCCAATCATATGATGGTTCTGTGTTAGGCTGTTGTTCCTAATGTCATCAGTCTGCAGATCTTATATATGGCACCTCTAAATACGAGGTTGATACTGCTGGCATACTTGCATATGTAACTCTTTAAGAAAATATGGATTTATTTGTCTGGAACTGATAGGCATTGCCTTATATCCAAAATTATAGCTAAGTATCAGTCCCAGCTCTTGCCTCTATGTCCTTTAAAGCCTTGAGACTTTAAGCTCATTCTTCCTGCTGAGAACAGAGCTCAGTTGGCAGGTTTGGCTGTCTGCCAAGCTCTGACTGAAGATTTCTGGAAAAAACAGAGGTACAGCTTCATCTTGAAAACTGACAATGTAAACATTCCAAAATGTCTGTTGTGAAATAAGTACAAGACTTCCTCAGTCTCCCTAGAGTGTCTTCCAAAAAGACAGAAGAGAATGCCTGCATTTTGCATCCAGCTAATGAATAAGAACACCGGCATATTCAGTCATGTGGCCTCACACAAAATTAAATTTTTTCAGAAGTAGAAGTCAATGACTGTGTCTTGAAAGTATTACTTCCCAGCTGTTTGGCTAGCTATGTATCACTGCCTACAGTGACATGTAACGTGAGTCTTATAGTGTCAATATAATTATTTAAAATGCTTTATCCTAATACTCGTAAGAAAATTTAGACATCCTCATTATACCAGCTAGGTTTGTAGCCTAAAAAATTTATTCATGGTCTTTCCAAAATGATGTGGTTTATGTTCTGATAAACATCTAAAGATGCTTATGACTAATAACACTTGCAACCAGTTGATATTTTCCCAACATAACTCTACTGATTTTCAAGACCATGCCAATGATGTATTAACAGTTCAAATACTTCCCGTTTCAAAGAATGTGAATTATGGTTTCCAAGCTAATTTTGAATAGAATGCAAAATATTTGTATTAAATAAACAGAACCAAATTCTAACACATTGACTTACTTTTGAAAGTGAACCAGTTTCATTATATTCGAACACTGTAAAAAAAAAAAAAATAAAGCCCCACAGTAGTAAGTTCAAGCTATTCTGCTCCTTCAATATAAATTTAAGGTCTCACCTGAGTGAGAGATAATCTTAAATGATCAACTGCAAGAAAATGACTGACTAGCTATACATGGATGCAAAGCTCAGCTCCTGTGTTACAGTTTTGGTTCAAGGGGCAATCCAAACTATGAGGCTCAGGTTGGTCTTGGTTTGCTTTACATGCAGCTCATGTAAAACAATGTATTAATCTGTGTTTAAAACAATGTATTAATCTTTAAAAACCAGAATCAGATAAAATCATAGACTGTAAAAAGTCAGCCACTGCTCAAATCTTCCACAGGCTTTAAAGAGTATCAGTTCAGGCCCCAGAGCTGACACCATTAGTATTGATTTTAAGCTATTTTAAGCTATATCAAAATTTGTTTCTAAATAACCAAGTGAAGAAATAGATGCATTATTTCCTACTCTAGAACTTTTATATTTTTTATTATAACCAGTCCTTACATGGGAAACAAGTCAATTTAGAAAGGCTGAGAGAGTTAGAGAGCAAAATTATTTCGGAGAAGCTTTCTCTTTATCCGATGTTTTCCCTCCCACACAGAAAAGTGGAACACAGATGCCCTCGGTTCTTAGAAATGAGTAGAAAAAGAAGAAAAAGCTACAAGGGCAGAAAGAGCTCTGATTCCAGAGAATGTAAGTTTACAGAAATATTTAATTTGAAGTAAAATCATCAGAATCATATGTGGCTGTTCTTCATTTTACTCATCAAGACAGAAACACGTTTGTGCCCAAAACTGTTTGTCAAATTGGAAATATTTACACTCCAGTGTGGCTACATACAGTTAACATTTTGGTGGGGCTTATTGTTTTGTTTTTGTTAACTGCTAACCTAGCTATTTCTGGCAAAGGCTTTCCAAATATATTGTTATTGTTTAATTGCCTCAAAATTTCATCATTCTTGGTGTAAAGTTCTCCAAGTTGTTGTAGTTTAATAGTTTATTCTAATCCTATTTAGGTTGATGTCACTGTAAACAGTTAACCTCTAATGCACATGACCTATCCTAAAAAAAAGCCCAAGCAAGACAGAATTTTATGTCATTGTATGAATGCCATGAAATCTTGCCTAGTACAGCCAGAAAACATAATTTTCTTCTGCTTTCAACAGGGAGCTGTGGTTCACACCTCCTGGCAATGTGCCACTGATCTGCAGTGTGATTGTGATAATTGTTTGCTAAGGTATAGAAGGATTATAAAAGTCACATTCCATAGAATTTACCCCAGACTGCAAGAAGGCAGTAGGATATTGATTCTCCCAGTGTGTTCCCAGGAACTGAGTAAATAATGGGAGGAGTAATAAAAGTTAAAAGTATAGCTCTTACTACATAGAATATTTTATCCCCTAACAACTGTAAAACTTCATTAACTGCTAATATATTGATTTTCTCAAATCAGATTTAATTAACATGGTCCAACCCGTTTAATCTGATTTCACATTACTTATCAAATAATTGAGACAAAACAATTTAATATTGAAATTTTAAAATAATGTTGTGTAAAATACACTACACCTTAGAAATAAAATAGGTGTTTTCTATGAAAAGTAACTCAAAGTTAATCACACATTTATGATACTGCTGACCAAGTCATGGAAAAAATGGGTTTTTCTTTTCTTTTGCTTTAAATTAGATGAACAGTTATCATCCATGTGTAAATGCCAGCAAAGTGTAGGAAGCCTTGAAAATAAAGCAGATGAGACTCTGGCTCACTTTGCAGAGCCGCTGGATGTAAAGATTACTGGAGAAGATGGAAAAGATCATGTAAACAAGAATCAGAGTAGCTCAGAAGCTTCTGAAGATAGAGATCTTGATAACGTATCAGACAGTGAAAAAGAAGGAAAGAAGGAAAAGAAGTGCCCTCTTAAAATGTTTTCTCCTCAACAAGATGAAATCCTAGCTACAGTAACTTTTGGTGAATCAGAGGACTCATCCAAGGGAAAAATTACACTATGGGGCAAGCCAGACTCTTCAGAGTCCATTAGCTTGACCACTGGAAAAATTTCTGCAGAAGTAAAATATGGTTCTTTTAATTTGAAAGTAGAAATTAAGAATGTTTCTTTGTCTGATTCGGGAACAAATATTGTGGCTGAAAAAAAGAAAAGTTCAAAGAACAAGAAACATTGTCATGAAAGACAATACCAGAAAAGTCAATGTTCAAAATGTTCAAAGTACCAGTGTCCTTCAACTTACCATTCAGGAGAAGACATTGGGAAATACAGGGGATCCTCTAAATATAAAAGTCCAACTGCCATCAGTGGAAGTGCCTCCTTGGAAATGAACATTGAAGCAAAAGAAATTCAAGTGCAATATACCAGCGGAAAAAAAAATCTGAAGGTTAACATCAAAGCTGGTGAGCAGGCACAGAGCAAAGCATCCAACAAGGAACATGAAGATATGTACTGGAGTGAAACAGATTATTCTGTAACAGAGGCACCGTGTAATACAGATTGTGAGTCATCTTTTAGCTTTCATGAAAAAGCAGATTATACATTCCCAGATGGATGTACACTTCTCCCTCCACCTAAAGAATTTGCTGACTGTGACAAAATGCATCTGGATACAATTGCAGAGGGGGTGTCTTTGTACCCTGTTAATAGCAGAAAGGACTCTGACAGCCTCACTACAGCCTTGAGTATTTGGGGGAAAGAAAATTTTTTCTGTAAACTTAACAAAGTGGACTATGAAGACCACACCAATGAAAAGGAAGATTTTTCAAAAGACAAAATAATTTTGTCAAAAATAAATAATACAAATTGTCTTGTAGCTATTAATACTTTGTATAACCCAAACAATGGGAAAGAGTGTATAGGTAAGAACAATGTATTAGGTCAAGAAAGAAATAACTGTGACAAACACAGAGACACAGGGCAAAAAACAGCGAGAAGTAAGTCTTTCCCAGATACTACCCTCAACGTACCATCACCAGTTTATCCTAGAAGGGATTCTGGCTTTTATTCATTGCCATCCTTAAAAGTATTGCGTAAGGAGACTAAAGCAGGGGATAACAGGAACTCACATATTCTTACCAAATATACAGAACTTTCTAAATGTCCTGACTTGACCTCCTCACTGACAGAGCTTTGCAAGTGCCCTGACTTGACTTCTCCACTGAGAAATTTGAGAAGTCTTAAGTCTTCATATCGGTATGCTTTCACATCATTTGATCATGATGTTACCATTTATCCATCTGAGCCTGAAGAAAGTCTAGATGGCACTTATTTGCTGAATGACTATGCAGACTGTGCAGGGCAAGGTGAAGAAACAGAAGAAACATTAATGGAGAGTCTTCATTCCAGTGGTACTATAAATGACAGAAAGGAAAATGGGTGTGAAGAGCCTCTGAGAAATCTGGCCATGTGGAAGGAAGACTCTGAGTCCACTGAAGAAGCTTTAGATAAAGGGGCACCAGAGTACAACTATAGAGAAGAGCACATGGAATGGCAGAACAAAGCTGAGCTGGTACAGTTCAGTCCACATTCTAGAAGCTCTGCAGGTGAATTCATTAATGACAAGGAGAGTACTAAGGACGCATCTACAGAAAACATCCCAAAACAACTTTCAGCCTTAGAGCTAAATGTTCACCCACCCTCTGCAGAGTCTGAGGTAACAAATAACAGAAGAGGATCAGTACCAACTGACTCTCCAGTGATAAATGGAGAACTAGATAGAAGATTGATCCAAGATGATACTACACTGACACCTGAATGTTTTGGCTCTGCAATAAGAAAAGATACTAACCTATCCTGCAGTACACCAGAAAAATCTTTGCTATCATCGTTGTGGTTAGATCCCAAGGAGCAAGACATAAATAAAGAATCAGAAAGCTTTTCTGAGATACAAGACCTATCTGGGAATATCCTTGTTGGATCTGATTGCCATGATTCAGCAGAGGCTTCCATATTATCTACGTCTTCAGCATGTACAGAAAAGAAAGAGAATTCCACAGAACATTCAGATGTTATGGAGAGGTCAGAGAACTTTTGCAGTAAACAGTCAATTGATGATACCTTAAGGAGAGAGCCTGGAGCACATCAACAACCTCACTTAGCCAAATCCAACTCTGAAGAAATTGAGAAAGGTTTTGAAATTAAAGAAGATTATTATGAGAATGCAGATATCCCCCTATCATCAGTAAAACAGATTAATCAGAAAGGTAGGTGTTACAAGATTTTTGAAGTTAATATCACTTACACACCTTTTGCATAAGAGCTTTTTTGACATCTGTGTTTTTTTGGAAAATATATGTCTATTTAAAGTTTACAGTGATATTGTTATGGTATGATATGCTTGGCCATGTGGTTGTAATATGCAGTTAATGTGTTAAGGATCCTAGGAGCCATCCTGTAGAACCAAGTAACCTAAATAAAATGAAAAAGTTGAAAAGTTTAATGCATCTTTAATCAAGGAGCAGGTTTCCTACATCAGACAGTCCACGCATCCTATACATGTATTGAGAGAAGCAAACACTGCTGCAGGAATAGTAAAAGCAGTCCCATGTGGCATGAACTCAGAGCTCTAGTCAGTGTTTAAACCACATAAATCTGTTTTTTCAATCCATGTGATCTAAACAAATATTGAATTCTAAGTACATCTCAGTCTTCATTCTGGATAAACCTTTAAATTCTTTGAAATTACCAGAGCGGATCCTTTAACCTTATTTTCTCCTCTCTTTATATATTAAAAAATCTGCCTATGAAAAATACTTATTTTTCAATAACTAATATTTTACAAAATTTCTTGTCTTCCCTTCCATAACTCATCTACCCATATCCTGGTCATTTAAAATTAGTGTTTTGGATCATAAAACTGTAAAGATGTACTGGGACATTGCACACTACAATGAGTCCTTTTTACATTATGAATATGTACAACAAATATGTGTGTATCTGTTTTTGAAATACCACTCCAACTACTTTAATTTTAACTTTTTAATATTAATCAGGTTGTATGCAAGTATACCTCAGATTGTCCTGTCCAGAAGAGAATGTTTCCAGCAGATTTGGACTTTAGGAGGTTTAAACTGTTGAAAAATATGTATTTTCTCATTATGGGAAAATGTCATAAAGAACCTTAGTTAAAACCATCAGAAGCTTTTTAAAAATCTTTTTAGTTCAAAAAAAATACTGGTATGACTTCCATGGTTGTCTTGTTTGGCAGCAATAATGGAAATTTAAAAACTACCTGAAGTTTATATATAATAATGTAAATATATATAATGGCCAGTCTTCGCGAGCGAAGATCCGGGGAAGGTCTTTACACCTTCCAGCCTGCGCATTGGATTTTTTAGGTGAGACACAGTGTGCGCGGAACTGAGCCCACCCTTTAATCCTAAGGTTCATCTGCCGGGGCCAAGCGAGCTTGGACGGTGGCAGCGAGGTCCTTAGGACGTAGATGGATTGCCTTTAAGGGCTAACGAGCTCCATCTGCCAGGGAGTGGCCCTGACTGGGAATCAAACCTGGGCCTCGGCGGTGACAGCGCCGCGCCCTTAACCACTAGACCACCAGGGGCTCCCTCCTGAAGTTTATATAAACTATATAGATATGCTATATAGTTATATATTGCAATATAGATTAATATCTCAATATCAATATATAAAATAAATAGATAATTTATTAAATGGAAATCTCTATAGAACAAGGTATAGAATGAAGACACCAAAGGAAATATGCATGCCAAAACCCTTGATATTATACATTAGACCTTAACAGTTGAACACACATCACGGAAGTGAGATGTAGCTATTTCTTGCATTTTTATTTTACTCTCTCCTCTTCTCTTTTGACCCTTACTAAGAATTATCTACTTGTGCCTGGTCTGTAACTTTGGCCCTCTTTTGATCTATAGTTGTATTTTAATTTTCCTTCTGTGTTATTCCTAGCAATCCTGTGGAGGTCCTACCTTTAATGAATAAATGTGTATATCCAGGAGGCAGTATAAGCATTTAAAGTTTTAAAACTCTTTAATATGAATCAAAATCCACTTGTAGTTTTGGAATAATAGCCTACTTTGTCATGACAAAGGGAACAAAAGGGCAATGTGGGACTTCCTGAGCTTAGTAATCCAGTGGTACAGAAAAGGAAATGTGGCATCTTTCAGCAAAGAGTGAGAATATCTAGAACAAAGAAAAACAGATGCAACTGTGGTAAACCAGATGGGGGGGAAGAGCCCTGGCAATCTAGAAGTCAGCTGTTGTTGTGGGGACTTCACTTATCAGAGAGGAAAGGATTCCTGCAAAAGGCACTACAAGGGCACTACAAGAGATAGGCTTCCTGACTCTCAGCAACACTCAGGAAATAGTGCCAGGGAATACCCTGTCTCTGCTCCGTGGATCTCTGAGGGAGATCTACTGAAGCCAGACAGAGGCTATAGAACTGTGAGAGCACAGACACAACCTTACAGGGAGCCTGTTGAGGCTGGGCTCACTTTCCCCCTTGCCGGTGGCTACATTTGCATTTCCAGAACAGAATATAACTCAAAGTCTGTTTTCCAAATTTTTTTTAGCTGAAATAGTGATACAAAAAATAAATTTATTCTGTTTTACCTAGGAAGAAACCTAAAATAGAAAGGTATATCGTCCTCTTATCTTCACGTGTATCTTGCAAGATTATTCAATATTATTATGTGTTCAAATAGGAGTATGTTTATATCTGCATACTGACCACTTCAAAAATGCATGAGCGCTTTAAATAAAATCTATGGGCAATTTACACATTCTTGCATTAAAATAATGACATACAAATGGCTATGTACATATTTAACTACAGGTGGCTGTACTTTTCTCTGCATGAACATCTCAGTTAGTTTAAAATATATACTTTATGAATATTTTCAGTATTTTTAGGTATTTTCATTTGTATGTTTGGTTAGATTACTCTTCTATTTAGCATATGGAAATATTAAACAGTATAATTGCATATACAAGTTGTCTCACACATTCCTCACAAATTATATCTGGTTACAATTTAGACTTGAAATCAGAAATGAATAAAACTAGAAAGCTACCTTTGAAGAAGGACACCAGAGCAAGTGACAGTTCCCAGGAAGATGCAATAGATCAGTGGGCCAGAAGACGGAAACAGTTCAAAGACAGCAAAAAATGCAGTTCAACTGGAGGAAGCTCCATAAACAGCACAATTACTGAGGGATCAAGTGAGTACTTGAGTCTTACAATTGTGATCTTTCCCCTTTGTGTGATTGGCACTTTGACTGGGTTTTCTGAGGAAACTGATCTCCAGTTCACAACCTGAGTGCCTGCCTTAGTCATAATCATGACCAAGCATATTTTAATCAATTGAACTATTCCTTATAGGAAATTAGTATCCTCTCTCCTTGGATAAGCAAACAATATGACTGAAAAAAAAGTTGATTAAACCATACTTGTTCATATGCAATTAAGACAAACTCTAGGCACACGCAGGTAATCATATGGCAGCCGGTTTGAGATTATAACAAAAATCATAATCCTGATGCCTACTTATGTCAAAGCCATGCTGAGCTGGAGTATGCTTTCCTCCCTAAGGAAACCACCTGCTCCAACTTTTATCTTGGGCTTGTTGCCTAGATTGTCCTTCACTGTGCCTGCACTGACTGAAACAGTTAGACTGTTAGACTGTCTCATTAAGAAATCCATCACATCACTGCAAACTTGAGCCTGTACCAAATTCATCAGATCAAGTTTCATGGGAAGGAATTTTAAAGATGAACTGCTTAATGAATTTACATTTCATGCAGATGGGATCACCAAGCAAGGATTGCAGAGTCTAGGAGAGAATGTATGTGTTATTTCTTACTTGACACTGCCTTGCCTCCTGTTTTGCTATTTTAGTAATTTAGGAAATACTTTGCACAGATGAAGAAATGTGCAGTTCCCTGTGGAAATATATGGTGCTATAATGGTTCCTTTTGGTGTAGGAAGTTTTATTTGTAGATACATAACCTCCTTTTTGAAGAATGTAAACCTATAGAAGACTATCAACTCTAAGAATTCAGTGCAGGTCCAATAGACAATAAACTCTAAGTATGTTCTATCCCTGTCGCAAAGAGGTAAGTCGTTTATCAGCAGGGCCTCAATTCACTGCCTAAACATAGATGTCAGTTGCCAGCTGGGATACTAAGAGGACCCTGAGATAAGTGAACTACAGGGAACATGTCTTTTGAAGCAGTAACTGGATGGCAAGCAAGATACCCTAAAGCATCTAATGCAGTACCTGTGTTCGGATAACTGAGCCATTCCCTAAGTTTTTAATACCAGTTAACAAACTAGCAGAGATGACTGACATTTCACACAGAAATAAAAAAACCCCTCTTTATTGGTAGCAGTTTTCATTCTTTGCCCCTAAAACAGATTCACGTCCATGGTAATGATTTAGAAAGTTTTCATTGTCAAACCACGCAAGCTCAAGAAACCTATCAGGAGATACTCACACCATGATAAACTGTTCATTGATTTCAACAGTAATTTCTTTGAATATAAAGCTGAAACATAAATTTTATTAGGTCAAGCACATATTGGTTTAATAGAAAAAGTATATATATAGAAAAGAACCAATTGCAAGAGCTAGAATTGCTTTCCATGTGATAAAGTTTTTAGTAGCATATGGTGTGAACCCAAAATGATCTCCAGAACAGGTAATTCTTCCACAAATTGTCATATCTAATCATTTTGGATGGTATGCTATAGGCCTGATACTTTTTTGTGTCTAGGCTGTTTCCTGATGTTTGCAGACTTCAGACAACCTGACTAATATTTAGAAGAAGCAGCTCCTTATATGCTTCCTTCCAGCAGCTGGGAAGTGGGGTTGTTTATGACACACAGACTGTTATCTGTTCTGAAAATGCAAGGAGAAGAGAGAAGAAATGTCTTGGCATAACTCCTTGCTGCCAGTGTGGCAGTATGTATTTCTGTAGTTTTGCATATCTGTCACATTTTAAGCTCTACTACAATTAAAAAAAACCAGGATTAAACTGGCAAAATATTGGTCTATACCGAATTGCTTGGTGCTAGTCTACATTTTATTAATTTATGCATTCAGTCTAACAAGTTAAAATGTGCTTCAAACATATCAGCATAGTAATGTTTATTTATTCGTTAATTTTTTTGTTTATTTGCTAGCAGCTTCTTATACAGTTAATCATGCTATCTCATACTTTTTGCATAATAAGGGAGAAGCCAGTGGGTGTGAAGTATTTGTCTACACAGACATAGTTGAGCAAACTGTCTATGTCAAAAGGCCACTTAGATACATTCAGGAAGTAACTTCCAAACAAAACAAAATAAAGGTTAATTTTTATCTTTTCTGGTTTGAAACTGGAAAGCATTCCAAATAATTGTGACTTCTAATACAGAGTAAACAAAGCAAGAAAACCCTTTCTCCAGCTGCATTAAATCTGGCTGCATTTTGCTAGGCATTTAGTACTGAAAGGAACATGATAGTTCTTTTCCTCTCAGACAATTTATATTTTCAATCTATCTGTTATCATAGTGTCTCATGATATATACTTTCATGTGACTTTCAGCATCCAGTTTTAGCTTTGAAGTTCCAGCTCCCAATATGCTTGGGATGTTGCCATGCACAGCCTTTTCCTTCATAGTCTAACTGCTGTTTATAACCTCTCACACAGACAGCTGCCTGCCATCCTATTGCCTTTTAAGCCTGAACATTTCTGGCTTTACCCTCAGAAAAGAACTAGAGCTCCATCTCCATGGGGACTCAGTGCAAGACATTGTGAATGCAAATTGATATAAAATATGAACCTGAAAATCCTTGGGATAACACCTGTAGCACCATACCCTGAGATCAGCTCATTTGTTTAGAACATGGTGCTAATAATTCTAAGGTTGTGGGGTTGATCCCTGTATGGGCCATTCCCTTAAGAGTTGGACTTGATGATCATTGTGCATCCCTTCCAACTCAAAATATTCTGTGAAATGCTGTGAAATATCCAACAGTCTAGGACATGCCAGAAGTTCTATGTTAAAAGAAAAAAAAAAACACCAACATTATTTCCTCACCCTACTTTTAACAAAACTACTCATCTGGAAGACATAAGATTAAGAAAACATCAAATATGGTCATCACTACCCAAGTCATGTCAGATGCTTTTGAACTTCTCTTTTGTCTTCCCAAATGCACTGAACTTGTACTAAATTTCTAGAGGACTTGTTTGGTTCCCTGATCTAATGGGCCCCATAGGAAAGCTTAAGAATTAGCTAAAGCCAGACTTCTCGTAAAGACATACATCTCCTGTTTTGACCATTTGCATTAGGACTTCTTATTCCAGTTCAGTATGCAATAGCATCCAGTATTGTGGTCTTATATTTGGAAATCTTTAGACACTGCCCCTTTAACACCAACAAAATTGAAGAACTCAGTACATACAAATAGTTCATTAAAAATCTTGCGGCACTTCTTCCATGCTGACTGGCTAGGAATAACTCTCTGTTACTCTTCATGCATTTTCTCTACTGATGTAACTTTTACTTCTTTTATTATCATGACAGTAAATTCAGAGGATGCTCGATCAGTAGATCCAGGACTACATGCTGAAAATGAAGACAGAGGTTTTTATACAGAAAACTTTCATTCTGCTTCCTGGGTTTTCAGAGGAGATGATGTCTCTCCGGATAACAGTCCTAGGTGTCTCAGCAAAAGACCTAGACCAGTGGCAAGTAAGTTGGTTGGAGCAACAGGTAATAAATGTCATAGAAATTTATTTATTTTTGGCACTCTGAGGTTTTCTGGGGCTCAACATGTGGGAAAAGATGCTGGATGCTTATGCTGAAGACAGGGAAAAGACTAATGCAAGACTCTAAAAGATTATTGGAGTAAATAAGTAGTTCTTATTTAGCTACTGTCTTGCAAAATGTCATAATTACTTGACAAAATTGAAACTGGTAAAAAGACATAATTAAGCCTCAAGAGATAATGGTAAAGGCAGGATAATTTCATAACATCTTTAAGCCTGGCAAAATCATAGAGAGATATTTATGGTCATAAATTATTACAATGATCATAAAATCTCTTCTACATCAAAATTTCAAACATTGTAGATCCAGAAAGGAAAGAATCATTTGCTATGAAGGGTTATTCTATTTGTGGCTTAGACCCTGTTGTGAAAAAAGATATAGTGACCAACTTTTTCAGGGAGATCGAGGTTCTCCTTGACTTTTCAAATGTTAAGTTACTGAAAAGTAACACAGTTCAAAGATCTAAGACAAACTGAAACCCCTCTGTAGCTTTCCAGGAGATTGTTCTTTGTTGGAACTCTAAGAATATGAGAGAAAACAAATGTCCTCTATAAATATCCCGATATGTAAAAACTCCTCCTAGAGGAGAGCTCAGAACTTTGGCAAGATAGTTAGTCAGTACTGAAGTATCTATTTTAGACAAATAATCGTCCTTCTGCTAAATAATTTGCATTTAAAGCAGTTTCTGTCTTCCAAATAGTACACGATTTGAAGACAACACATCTGTCATAAGTTACTGTTAAATTGGCCTCCATTAAAAAAAAAACAAAGCACAGTAAGGCAATCAAATAATCAAAACCAGACACTCTGAGAAATCAAATTTACACCAAAGTCCTTCATAAACATAAGATTTGCTAAAGAGCCAGGCCATTTGAGACACAATAATAATACTAGACTCTGAAAAAAAAGAAAAAAGTAGGCAATTAGACCCTGATCTTTCTTTTACTGAGGCTCTCTTTAACTATTTATATCTCTTTAACTATTAATTTCTGCTGAGTTGAAAGACATTTCAAATGGATACAGCCACTGATGGCAGAAGATGGAGTGGGAGGGAGGAAGGCAGTGGGAGTGGGGAGTGGACAAGGAAGGATAATCAAAAGGAAAAGAAACAACTATCCAAAAGACAGAGGCCTTCTGAAACATAAAAAGAATGAAACTACAAGAAACAGATTTAAACCCATTTGAAAATTTAGAGTGTATTTTCTATTTGCAGCATAGAGGTCTGACACAGAAAGCAGGAATGTTTTTCTCATCCAGAACACAATCAGTAGAGTGGAATATCTGAGCACTTCCCCACCTCTTCATTACGAAGTCCAGGCACTTAATTTACACTGCTAATGAGACCAAATTTCACTGGTGCTGTCTGTGCCCTAACATGGATGGTATTTGATGAGTCACAGTGTGAGGGGTGGCACCATCCAAGGACCAGCACTAAACATCTAGGAGTGGTACTGAAAACACCCCAGCAATTTGTAGAAATAGTAACTGCCAGTGACTACAAAAAGTTTTGAGAACAGGCTGCTGCTTGTTAAATTCAACTTGTAGAGAAAATGGATATCTCTTTTTTCCAATTTTGCAGTTCGAGAAAGAACAGTGAAGATTGCTAAAGGAACTGGTAATTACCCTTGGGGTTTCAGGATCCAGTTCTCAAAGCCTATCCTTGTGACTGAAGTTGACACAAGTAAGCTGTGTTTGTACTGGTTAATATCTCCTTCACAATATATAAAAATAAATACATAATATTTAGTATATTATATATATTATATATACTGGTACAATCATATATCTACATGATATAATATGATCTACTAATACTAATAGTATACAGCATCTGGTTTATATTAACATCTAATATAAATGTACATGAATAATTTCCATAATTGGTGCAAGGTGTTTAATAGTGTACCCTTGAACTGCTTAGGACAAACTGTTTCAGAACCCTAGTATCCCAGGGGATAAACCAGACTCCACTGCTCTATCTCCTTCCATGTCAGTTGATACCTTCTCCAAGTGCCTCCATCCAGATGCAGAGACTAAAACTTTTGTGGGCTGACATCTGTGAATGACAATATGACTTTAAGAACTAAATGGGGGATGCAGAGATGCTTCGAACATTTTCAGAAGTCTTACTGACTGGGAACAGTTCTGCTTGGACGGGTTTCCACTGAGCCATCTGTCAGTCATTACAGATGTGCTGTTTACTTCTTCAGAGTAGTATAACGAGTGTAAGGAACCACTACAGAAACTCCAAACCCCAACTGAGTAACAAAAAAAAATCAACAAAGAGTGTACAAAGAGTACAAGACAATGCCTCTAAAGAGGAATGATGGCATACCTTCATAATGGTATTGGCAGTTTCACTCAGGAATGAGATCTTGGGAGTTATCTCTGAAAGGTCTCTGAAATCATTGGCTCTGTATATACTGTCAGCTTAGAAATCTGGCTGCCCTGTAAGGCCATCCATCCAAGAGAAGGATACTCTAATTAAACCTACGTCCTGAGGACCTCACTGTCACTGTCCAAGCTTGCTAGACCCTGGCAGATGAACCTCAGGAGTAAAGGGTGGGACCAGTTCTGCACAAGCTGAACCTCACCTAAAAAATCCACTGCGCAGGCTCGAGGGTTATACCCAAGCTTGTAAAGTCCTGCAGCGACAGGTGAGGGACGAAACGGCAGGTGATAAGGTGCACTGGAAGCCACAGTCCTAACCTACATGGAGGCAGTTCAGGACATTGGTCGCCTGAGTCTGACCCTGGAGATGACAGACTCACTCAGCAGCATCCTGAATGACCAAGCAGCCTTTTTCAAGGAGAGCACTGCTTGCTCCACATGGAGAGGGGCCTAGAAAAGGTGACCTAACCAATAGCTCATCTCCATCCTTCACCTGGTTGGTTAACCGCGGCCAACAGGCACCTTCTGTTGCGGTCAAATAAAGATTAAGAGTAAAAGGCACACACCTGCCTCCAAAGGTGTGTCCAAATTGACACTCGCATGCTGGAACATCAGAACCATGCTTGATACTGCAAACAGTGGCCGTCCTGAGCGTCACTCTGCTCTAATTGCCCATGAACTGTCACGACTCAACATCGACATCGCTGCTCTCAGTGAAGTTCATCTTCATGAGGAAGGCAGCCTTAGAGAACGTGGTGCCAGTTATACACTCTGCTGGTCAGGTAAACCCAGTTCTGAAAGGTATCTCTTAGGAGTTGGCTTCATGATTAAAAACTCTATTGCCTCTAAACTTGAAAATCTGCCAACTGGTCATTCTGATCGTATCATCTCCCTACGCCTCCCACTACACAACAAGCAACATGCTGTTCTCTTTAGTATATATGCCCCAACCCTCCAAGCTGACCCTGCTGAAAAAGATAAATTCTACAACGACCTACGCTGCCTTATCCAGAAGGTTTCTGCAGATGATAAGATCATTATCCTTGGTGATTTCAACGCCAGAGTAGGAAAGAACTCTGAAGCCTGGAAAGGAGTACTAGGCAAGCATGGTGTTGGGAACTGCAATGATAATGGTTACCTTCTGCTAGAGTTTTGTGCTGAGCAGCAGCTTACCATCACCAACACTATCTTTCAGCAGAAAGATAGTCTGAAGACAACCTGGATGCATCCTAGGTCCAAGCACTGGCACCTCATTGATTTTATCTTGGTCCGACAGAGAGATATCCGCGATGTTTGTCACACCCGCGTGATGCCTAGTGCAGAATGTCAAATGGATCATCACCTTGTGTGCTGTAAACTTAACCTCCACCTTAAGTTCAAACCTAAAAAGGGTGGCATTCCTAGAAGGAGACTTCAAGTTAACAGTCTTCAAACAGCTACAGTGAGGGACAGTTTCCAGGCAAATCTTCAATCCAGGCTCAAAGTCCATTCCACAGATTCCCTCTCCCAAAGCACTTTGGCAACTTATTAAAAATAGCATTCTGCAGTCCTCTGAAGAATCCTTAGGGTTCTCCTTCAAGAAAAACAAGGACTGGTTTGATGAAAACAATCATGAGATCCAGGAATTGTTGAGTAAGAAGAGAACTGCTTACCAAGCCCGCCTTGCTCAGCCGTCTTGTCATATAAGAAAAGCAGCCTTTTGTCTTGCATGCAGGAAGCTACAACAGAAACTTCGTGACATCCAGAACAAGTGGTGGACCAATCTAGCAGAAAGAATCCAATTATGTGCAGGTACAGGTGACTACAGAGGATTCTGTGAGGCTCTGAAAACAGCCTACGGTCCTACACACCAGGTTCAAAGCCCTTTACTCAGTGCAGATGGCCAAATGCTACTCACAGATAAAGTTTCCATCTTGAATCGATGGTCTGAACACTTTCAGACTCTCTTCAGTACTAGCCATGTAGTTCAAGACTCAGCAATGCAGTACATTTCACAACAACCAATGAAAACTGAACTGGATACTGCCCCCACCATGGGAGAAACTCTTAAAGCAATACAGCAGGTGAAAATTGGCAAGGCAGCTGGGGTTGACAGAATCCCACCGGAAATCTGGAAGCACGGTGGCCAAACACTCCATGCTAAGTTTCATGAATTTGTGGTACGCTGTTGGGAATGAGGTGAACTGCCTTCAGACCTTTGTGACGCTGTCATCGTCACCTTGTACAAGAGGACAGGAGATAAATCAGACTGCTCAAACTACCAAGGTATTACTCTGCTCTCCATTGCTGGTAAAATCCTTGTAAGAATTCTTTTGAACAGATTAATACCCGCCATAGCAGAAGATCTTCTACCTGAAAGCCAGTGTGGTTTCCGAGCCAACAGAGGTACCACAGACATGGTATTTTTTCTCAGACAACTGCAAGAGAAGTGTTGGGAACAGAACAAAGGACTCTATGTTACCTTTGTTGATCTCCCCAAGGCTTTTGATACTGTGAGCAGAAAAGGTCTGTGGCAGATTTTGGAACGTTTAGGATGTCCTCCCAAGTTCCTCAAAATGATCATCTCACTTCATGAGGACCAGAGCGGTCAAGTCAGATATGGCGACACACTCTCTGAGCCCTTTCCAATAGCCAGTGATGTGAAGCAAGGCTGTGTTCTTGCACCAACTTTATTTACAGTCTTCTTCAGCATGATGCTCCAAAGGGCCACAGCAGACCTCGATGATGAAAACGGTGTCTACATTCGATATCGTACCAATGGGAGCCTATTCAACCTAAGGCAACTGAAGGCCCACACTAAGACCTTAAATTATCTTGCTGCTTTACGCTGATGATGCCGCCCTCATCACCCACACAGAAGTAGCTCTGCAGCATTTAACATCCTACTTTGCAGAGGCTGCTGAGCTTTTTGGACTGGAAGTCAGCTTGAAGAAAACAGAAGTTTTATATCAGCCTGCACCTCAGGAAGTCTCCCATCATCCCCATATCACCATTGGTGAAACAGAGCTCAGATCAGTCCAGCAGTTTAATTACCTGGGAAGCATCATCTCCTCAGATGGTAAGATTGATGCAGAAATAGACAACAAGTTAGCAAAGGTGTACAGAGCTTTTGATAAACTCCATAAAAGAGCATGGCAAAACAAACACCTGAAGAAAAGTACTAAGATCAGCGTTTACAGAGCTGTTGTACTGTCTACTCTTTTATATGGGTCTGAATTATGGGTCATTTACCGGCACCACTTGCGTCTCTTAGAACGCTTCCATCAGTGCTGCCTTCGTACAATTCTGAACATCCACTGGATGGATTATGTGACCAACACGCCTGTCCTTGAACAGGCAGCAGTCACAAGCATTGAGGCCATGCTGCTGAGAACACAGCTGCGCTGGGCAGGGCACGTCTCCAGGATGCAGGACTACCGCCTCCCTAAGATCGTGCTCTATGGGGAACTTGCCACTGGCTGCCACAAGAGAGGAGCCCCGAAGAGGAGATACAAGGACTGCCTGAAACAATCCCTCAGCCTTGGCCATATTGATCACCACCATTGGTGTATCCTGGCCTCAAGTCGGGAGGCCTGGAGACACACCATCTATAACGCTGCTGCTGCTTTTGAGAACACACGCAGGATCACTCTCGAGGAGAAAAGACAGCGCAGAAAGAATCGCGTCTCATCTGTATCACCTGGGGAGTCTTTCTGCTGTGCCTTCTGCAACCGGACTTGTCTATCTCGCATTGCCCTTTTTAGCCATCAGCACACTTGCAGCAAGCGTGGGTAGAGTCCTTCTCGGATCTTCATTCACAAAGTCTAGCCATCACGATGATGATGAGAAATCTGGCTAAAAAGCTGATTGTATCAGTAACAGCAGTGAGAGTGAGACACAAGCAGTCAAAGTCATTTTGCTGCTATCATCTAAAACCTTGGTTCACCCAAATCTAGAGTAGTTTTTGCTCTCTCCATTTCAGGATGGGTACAGTAGAATTAGAGAAGGAGCAGAAGGAGACTGTAATAGATTCTTACTACAAAAACCAGATGTAGTGCTAAATGTCATCCCACACGAAGAATGCCTGGCTTCTAGCAAGGCATCTAAGAATAGATTTCTCACTATTACCAGCCCTATGTATTACATTGTCCATCCTCCTGACAATATCAGGAAAGCCTGTGAATTCAGAGGCGTGTGAACTCATTAGTTCCTTACCTAAGTGCAAATAAAATCACAGGTAATGAATACAACAATAGCCTTGAAACTTAGCAATTTATCCCTGCTAATCTACTAATTAAAATTAAGTCTAGCTACTGACATTGTTTATTTGTATATTGTTTTCAAGTATAGTTGCTTTAAACCTGCAGGGGGAAAAAAAAAAGTTGGGTTTTTTTTCCGACAAAATCTAGTAAAATTGTATTTTCTCAATATATGACTGATTTCATTTAAACAGAATAGATATTAGAAAGAAATTCTTTACTGTGAGGGTGGTGAGGCACACGAATCAGTTGCCCAGAACAGCTGTGGCTGCCCCATCCCTGCACAGGTTCAAGGCTAGGCTGGTTGGGGATTTGAGCCACCTGGCGTAGCAAAACGTGTCCCTGCCTCTGGTAGGGGGTTGGAACTAGGTGACCTGTATGATCCATTCCAGCGCAAACCATCCTATGATTCTATAAAAATTATTTTAATAATATTTTAAAGACCACTTATGATCATAAAATCTGGTATGGTATCCTCCTCAAAGCAAGCACAAATCAAAATTTTCTGACATTTGAGAATTTGCAAATGATTTATAATCCCTGTGAAGGTGGACCATGGCTTTATTGTGGCTGTTTATTATTATTAAGCTTTTACTCATCTCTTTCCTACAGTGTCTAAGCATCCTCAGAAATACACTGAAGCATCACATTTACTGCATCATAGGGCACAAAATCTCTAAAAAGATACATTAAATAGTGAGGACATGGAATAAAATTTTCCAGGAACATTTATCACCTTCCTAATTTGCTTCCATTCCTGGCTGGCATGTGTCTGAGAATTATTTTGTGAGTGCATGTACTGTACAATGGTTAACAAATAAATGAAAGGTCATGCATTAACAATATGATTCAGTCCCCTCCTTCACTGACACTTTTTTAACTTATTATGTTATTTTCTCCTAAAGACAAAACCCCTGAAAATTCTATGGCCAAATTCAGTTAACCAGCAAAGACAAACATCAGCACAGAAAGTATTCTTTGGAATTAAATCCAAAGCTCACCAGAATAATAGGTTTGTTTTTTTTCTGCTGGCTTTAATGAGCATTGCACCAGATCTTTGTTTGCCCGCTAGGCCAAAACTCTCAGATACTGAAATTATTATTTGCACTTTTAAATCCTAATGGCATTTTTAATGAAATTTCTCAACTGCCAGTGATTATCTAGTGTTACACCACAATCCAAATCCTGAAGATTCATTTACAGATGACTAACATGTTACTCAGTAAAACTTCTTCCACCTCGAAGCTGATATCATGAAGGCTCTAAAGCATACTCTGGTTGAACAGATGCCTGTTTTGCTAGAAAAGCTTCTCTGCACAGCCATGCTTGATATCCTAACTCTAAATAAAATTGAGTTTTTGATAGGTTTGGTTTTGGGTTTTTTGTTATTCCAGATAGTGCAGCTGAAGAAGCAGGGCTTCAGGTTGGGGATATTCTGATAGCAGTCAATGGAACTGATGTCACCAGCATGCCACATTCAGAAGCTGCCAATCTGGCAAGGAAAGGTAATTTTAAGATCACAATAAATTACATGACTGGTCAGGTTTCCTATTCAATGCTCCAAATACAACCAGAAAAACTGGGTGATGTATGCAACAGAAATCTTGAATATCAGTTTAATGCATTCGTATTTAATAGAGTAATTTTACCTAAGTCACTTTTTTATCTAGGCCTTGTCTTCTAGACACATAAAATTATTTCCCAAAGAGCACATGTGACTGCAGAGACACAATTACCTTATTTATGCCTTATACTTCCTCAGGGAGAGACTTCATATCTTCCTTCAGTGCAACCAGTAGTTATTTCTGTGTCTCCAAGACCTGAAGTCTAGTAAGGAGAGCAGAGAGCTCATTTCACAAGGCCTCCTTTTACACCACCACAGAAACAGAGTCAGAGATATTAATCAAGTATATTCTTCCTAGAATTGTGATGATTAAAACCCAAAGATACCCATGTTTGCATGCTGGAAGTTAATCTGCTGCCATTCCTTTATTTATCTAAGATAAGGTTTTGACAAAGGCTCACGGGAAATTCAATAAATTAAAGTGCTTTTACAAGACACTGACAAATTTAACTTGACACATTCCATGTTCTTTAATTATAGAGGTGCCATTCACACTATTATATTTAAGAATATGTTGAGTCTTTTAGCAGATAAATCTCTGATTACTGAGTATTTTTAACTCTTCAGAGAACGCCCTCTGGACTAAATCTTGGCACACAGTGTTCCCAAAGTCAGATGTCCCTAAAAAAGAAATCCAGCAAATGCTTTGCAGATGAAAATATGTCATAGTCACATTTCTCAGTTCTCTTTCAGGCATTGCTATCTGCTCTGTAGTGTCAATATAATCAGAAGCTCAGGCCTTCTGGTCAAAATCATAGATGTACTGATAGCAATATTACGATTTTGTATCTCACTGATAATATTTTTGGAAAATCTTGCAACCTATCATGTCTTCCTTATGCTTACCTTTTGCAATTGTTAAGTAGAAGCTTTGGAATAGATTAGCCTCCGACAGCCACCCCCTTCAATGAGGGGCACAGAAAAGATTAGAAAACTCCAAGGCATGGAAAATAAAGAATTCTCGAGAGCATATGTAAGATGGCAGAGACTGAAGGTGTCCCTAAGAACGTTATCAGCAATTTTTGCATAAACCTCAATTTATGTGCACCCATTGGAACAATAAGATTCAATCCCTTCTTTTAACTGATAAAATACACAAGCACCCAAAATGCTGCTTGCAAAAGTAGGTCACAATATTTTTTTAAGTGGAGTCTTCAGATAGCTGACTCCATTAGTAGCCCTCAACACAAAATTATTTTCATTCCTGAATATATATTAAAAGAAGGCCAAAGATTGCTTGCTTCCTAGGCTGCTCTGCTCTTTGCTGCTTCCAGAAGCTACAGTGGGAGGACAAGGGCATGGAGTAAAATACTGCCTTCCTGCTCCATACACTATATGAGTATTCAAAAATACTGACAGACTGGTTTTGGCCTATGTGTTTGCACTCTTCATGTAATATTTTAGGTCCTGATATCCTGACTATGATCGTGGGATCAGACATCAGCCGTTACCCCAACACCCCCAGACCTACCTGCCGAGGATATCTGCATAAACGAACACAGTCAGCCATTCTGAAGGGCTGGAGAAAGAGGTGGTTTGTGCTGAAACACAATGGGTACCTGCACTATTACAAACACAAGAAGGTAAGGAGAGTGGTTGGTGAGGAACCAGGCTGTGTCTTGAACTATGAAGTGCAGTAGCTTTGTACTCACGGGTCATCTTGACTTGTGCTATTTGCAAGATAATGTCAGCACTACAGGGTTTTGTATGAGGTGTATAAAGGAGGCTTGTTGGGTAGTTCTGCTTTCCTAAGCCTAGTCACAGACATAGACACTGTCTGGCTTTTATGGATTCTACATTTAATCTCTTTATTCTGATCTTCAAAAAGCCTTTAGAAGGGATGAGATGAACTAGCTTCAGATGTGTAAGAGCTCTGTGTTCCATCTAGCATTGCATGTATTTCCTGAAACAGGCATGATTATGTGATTTCTTTGTGTCAGTGAATAAGTTACAGACCTGCACATTGGGATAGCTTGGTTTCTTCAGAGTAGAAATACTCAGTACTTCATTCTGTCATGGGAGCAGGGACCTGTATAGGACTTAATAATTCTAAGTATATATAAGACTTTAACTTAATCTAGTTAAACTTAACAACAAGACATACAAAAAATGGATATGGCAGATGCTTCATGAAGGGAAATCATAGAAATCATAGAATCATTGAAATCATAGAATCATAGAATTAACTGGGTTGGAAGAGACCTCTGAGATCATCAAGTCCAACCCTATTTTCTGGGGGGAGACAACAGGGTTTTTTATATTTCATTTGGCTTTATCCTGAGGCTCCATTTCAACATAGCATAATTTACAACCCTTTAATTGTATAATGAGTCTTTATAGCCCTAAATCAATGACTTCTTGGTTATCTCAGCTACAGATATTTGAGTATTCTATAAAGTTATTTGCCTCTAAATAAATGAATAAATAAAGGCATTTCACTTAAAAAAAAAAAAAAAAAAAAGAAGAAGAAAAGAAAAAAAAAAGCTTTCCCTTGACACAGTTAGCTCCAGGAGTGGGGGATATAGGCACTGGGCTCACAGTGAATTCACCTGCCCTACAGTATCATTTTGCTGTAGTCTGTGAGATGGCTCAACAGGTGCTGCATGTAGTTACAAGTTAATCCGTTCCCCTGTGTGTTTTTATGATGAAGTTATTCATTGAGAAAGTTACTTATATAAAATCAAACAGATTGATTTCAAAGACTCTCATCTGTTCAGAGCTTTTTGTGGCAAAACATTGTAAAAGCTTGTAAAAAAACATTCAAGGTCATCCACCTAGCATTCATTCTAACCTCATTTCAAGAACAATTAGCAAAGCTGAGAAAAATTGCCTGTGAGGGATTTATCACTAGATGAAGCACATGTATCTTTCAGGGGATCTCCTAGCTCTAGTAGAAGGGCATCAGTGGATATATCAGCTGGTTAGAAATAGTTTTGTCTCCAACATACTGTTTGAACACATACCAGTAAAATAAAGCCATGTCCACCCTTAATCAAAAACTACATGAGAACATGAGCATAACGCATGAGCATAATACCAAGTCCTTGGCCTGTAATTAATCTTTATGTTTACTAACATGGTCACATACCTTTTGATCAATTCAGCATATAAACATTTAAGAGAATTCTTTTGGAGAGAAGATTTTATTTTATCCTAGTCAGGTACATCATCAAATTCCTGAAATGTAAAAAAAAGATATCTCATTATGCCTTTTAAACACTCTTCAATTAAGTATATCTGAAGACAGTGTGTTAGATAAATTGGATTGAGGATTAGAAGGTACCCCTTAATCTTACATTCACTAATATTTAATTAAATTTTTATTTATTTATTTCCACTAGTGTTTTTTTTTAATTAGTTTGTTTCTCAGTTAGCTTATTTACTGCACTGAGAAAATAAATATTTCAGTCATGCAAACTTTATGTTTTGATAAGATGGCTCTTTAGCCAAAAGCATACATTTGCTTTTTCTTCAAAGAGTAAATAAATTTAAAGAACTGCATAAACATTTTATAGTAATAACTAACTACTGTTTGTTTTCTTGCATTATCCAAGGTTAGTGCTATTCAATCTTTTTTTAAATCATTTCATACCATTTTTTTGCCAGCTGCTCTGTCTCTGTTCCTGATCTCCAAATAATAAACTACATGGTGGTAGTGGATGAAGGGTTGGACTTGATGATCTCAGAGGTCTTTGACAACCCAGCTGATTCTATGATTCTATTAAATATTGCAGTACTATTTTAGCAACTAAAAGCACAAGGACTTTCTTTACTGCCTCATTTGCTTACAGAGTGCTCTGGAGAATCCTTTATAAGAGAGACAGAATCCACTTAAATATAAATACAGTTATTTACTACTGTGAGATCCATTGCCCAAATGAAGTAAGAAGGAGCTCAGCTGGACTCACTGACACTTCTTTCTTTTGGTATGATTTTTGTCAGGGTAAAAGAAGACTTCTCATTCCACTTTTTCTTCTAAGGGAATTACAAATAATATTTGTAGTTTAATACAGCCTTTATGTAGCATGATGATTTAACTGCATGATTAATTGGAAATGTTGTCTTCCAGGCCTTGACTCACTCAGGACAAAAAATTTGTCCACTTATCTGATCTAAGATATTCTTTGAAACAGTTAATTGAAGGCAAGAGTAATTCAGAGAGACAAAATAAGTTCAGGATAACCTGCTTATCAGTAAAAGAAAAATATCTTCTATTAGTATATTTCCAGTGATGCCAGCAAGGTCACTGGTCAAAGATTTCCAGTTGTATCAGAAGACAACTGAGCATTTTATTTATGCCTGAAATGTTATATATAATATTTTGTAGAGAAGAAAGGAAAGGACGTTTCATCTCTACGCTAGTCCATATCAACAAACACAGAGAGTTAGATTTCCTCATCATTGCTATTTGTAACTATAAATTGTCAACCTTGAACTTTCCTTTTCCCACCTACACTAAAAAGGAGATTGATGTTTCTAGAGTTTTTACATTTGACTCACCCATGTGTTTGCTGCAGTTTCAGAATCATCTCTAGCCAGTCACACACTGGTAAAGTGACAGTTGTTGCAAGACGTTCAGTCACTTTACATGTGTGGTCATTTTCTTTTCCCTCAAACAGGTGCTGCCACTGACTGTCCTCGACTCCACAATCCATATAAGTAACCATAGCACCTTTTTCAGCTCAGTGGATGTGGCTATGCTTTCCACTTCCAAGCAGAGAAATTGAGTTAGAACCTTGTTTTCTCTAAATTACAGAGATCAGCAGAGATATAATGCTTTATGATATTTTTGCCTACAGTTAGCAACTGTGGAGTTCCAGTATCTACTCTACCATTCTGATCTCCTATTGTCCAGATCACTGAATCTTCTCAAACATACTATTTCCTTCTTTGTCAACATACCCCGTTTTTCTTCTAAGGGAAAGATATATGGATATTATGAGGAAACAGACAAGGAATGTACACTAAAATCCTTCCCTAAGGCAATCGAGTTTCCTGTGCTTCAACTTAACACATTTTTTCAGGGAAAGTTGAAAGCACATCAGCACATCAGCATGGCCTTTCTTTGCAGATAACATCATCTGCTCCTCTTAAAGTACCATTTGCTGCTCATCACAGTAAAGGGGCTGCAACATCACTAGAAAATGCCTATGGGGAGTCTTCAGTATAGGACAGAGAAACCTTAATCAGTTTTACGTGAGACCAGTGATATAGCAAAAGCAATTTGCCCACAGCAGCAGAGCATCATTTCAACATGTTAATTCTCTGAGCTGTCACCAGCAAGTCTCTTTCAGAAAATGACAGCTAACTTGAAAACCCTAAAATATGCTTCAGTCTTCAGGATAAAAAAATAATGGTCTTGATTCATTAACGAGAAGGAATATAATTTCTGGGGCTCAGGAACAAATGGGCCATTGATGGGTTTAAAGACAATGAAGCTTGCACTCCTCTATCGTGAGGACATACCTGCTAGAGAGCTAACATTGTTCTAGGCTCAGTAGGAAAACACAAGGATAAAGAAAAAAGCATTATAGTCAAACACGTTTCCCTAAATTTCTCATTACAAATATCCACCATGTAAGGAGTTCAACTAATTAAATAGCGGAATTTACAAAAACACTAAAAGTGCCAGGGAAAGCAAAAATTTCCTAGTTTCAATTAATCATTGCTTTCTGGCTATGTAAGACTGGATAAATAAAAAAAAATATATAAAATGTTTTTTATGGGCCATAAAAAGAGACAAAAAAAGTAGAGTTGATAAAATTAAAATAATTAATGAAATATCATTTTTGTAACAATGCCCTAGCTCATCTCTCATTTTCATCTTACTGTGTGTCTAGGAAAGATTTCCAGTCCCTTTGACATAAGAGGACTCTGAGGATAGTGACATAGAGAGGATAATGAGACAGATAATCAATCTAGCACCTGAAAAGGAAATGAAGAAATAAATATCATTATGGTTATAGTTTAGGAAAAACTCTAAAGAGGCCTATCTATCTCAAAGCAGGAAACTGTGTTGTCAATGTATCTCCCTTGGAGACTTCCTTTCCAGCAGTCAGAGACTGATGAATTCTAGTCAAACCAGCTCTATCAGGTCCTTCTATTACATTTGTCATTTATTACATTTCCCTCTCCAATTCTGTCAGCTAAGAATGATGTGGAACAATAGTAATTAGGAATAAATGTCTAAAGAGTATGAGTTTCCTTACAGCATTTTGTATGGACTTCAAACAGGAAAGTCAAGAAGATATAATAGGAAGGAAGTTAAGTTGGAAGGAACACTTAAGTTGAAAATTTCTGTCTGGACAGTAGAAAAGAGCATGTTTTAGAGATTCAGCTTTAGTGAGAGACAAGTGTGAATAAAGAGCAAATTCACTTTCACACGTAGCCCCAAGTCTCAGAGAAATGGCCTTCATGATAGTTCATATTGTAAGAAAACTTCAACACATGCTCCTGAGAAGCACTCTCTCTGTGGCAGCAGTGAGGGATGATCTTCATTGTGATTTTATATAATAACGTCAGTTTTAAAAAGAATTATGATTTGCATTTCTTAGGTTCACAAATTTAGTGCCTCTAGGAAGCC